TTTCATGTTTGCAGATAGGTACGTACTCGTGCGTTAATGCAGTATCACACAAACCAAACACCTATCAACTAAAATAACAATAACGATAACAGTACTCCTCCCTTTTCACATGTACATTTGTATGTATACAAACCAAAAGCTCGTTTTACGACATGACAAGCGATTGAGCAAAGAGCAAAGAGCATAAGTAAGGAACAGCTACTTTCGAGTGGATCGCTAAAACTGAGTTTTATTTCAGTCAATATATTTTTTGAAGTGTAGTTTGGTTACATTGGTAGTAATACTCAAACTATATATGTATGTACAAGGAAAATTGGGGATTTTATAACCGCCAAAATGGGAGGGAAGATCTATAAAATAAAAATATCTTTTATATCAAATTTATTTTTTTAATTTTGGATGTTGGTTTGTCCAGGGCTCGGACCTACATCCCTCAGCATAGTAGCGCTCATTACAAACACTCGGACTATCTTTAGGATTTTGGCTCAATCGTCGATCTACGAGTACTTCAGTCATTTTTAGGCAATACTCGATTCTCTTAAAATTATGTATACATACCTATATTTACTAAATATCGTCGTTTTTGATCGATTCTTGTCCTTAAATCATATTTTAAGTCAACCCGATTATTTCATTTATTGCATATACTCGTATGTACAAAAGGTAAACCTAATTAATTTCTTTTCAAAGAAATGGTCCTGAGACTAGCGCTCAATTTGCTTAAAATTTAGTCCTTAAGTACCTTTTTTGCGTTTCATCTTATTGTGCATAAGCGGTGATCAGTGTCATTCATCGAGAGGTTGGTGTCCCCTATTGGTTTTTGATGCTTAATTAAGGCTTCCAATAACTCTTTACTTATCATCCAATTTATGATACCAATTACCAGAAAGTCACAGAAACAAATGGATCTGCTGTATTCTGAAAGAATTCATCAATTGCACTGATAGGTGGCCCATTTACAGGTGAACAAAGTTAATATACCACTGGGTATAAAAACCCATATAATCATACATTTGTTTATACGAGGAGTATGTGTGTATATAATTTCGGAAAGTTCAATAGAGGTCATCTGACCAAAGTTTAAAAACACGGACTAATCGACAGTCAGTGCACATTTCTCAGGCATTTATGTATATTTGAACCGTGCTTCTTTTATTAAAATCATACTGTATAAATGGCATAAATATGTATACCTAAATTTATGTTTACAGGCCTTTTTTTTATCTATGTACATACTTACATAAGTGATCACATGGTTATATATTCAATAATAAAATATTTCGCTGACTGTTCAGTTGAAAAGCTGCAATATGATCGATTACATTCAAATCCAAGGAACTTATTACTTATTATTACTTATTTAGAGCTTTATGGTCATCCGTTAAAGCTGTGGAAGAAAAGGTGAATTAATTCAGTCATGTCTATCTATCGAATATCCTTATACACGATAATTAGGTGTTAACCTTTAACTTGTGCGCAAACTACATGTTGACTTTTTTCCAACGAATCATACCATAAATGTATGTTTTAGTGTAAATCATTGGAAAGTTTGATGATAACCAAATAAAGCGACCGATGGGATGCAATCTTATCTTGTTGTGACTGTTGCTAGTGCTAACATTTGTATGTATTTCTGCCGCATGAGTACGATCATAACAAAGTTTATGCCCTGAGTTGCCCTGGATCTGGTCTATGTATTGTGTTTATTTACACACATGTACATAGTATATAGATGTATGCATAATATGTATGCATACGAATTTAGTCGATTGTCAGTTTCTGTCCGCTTTTTGTATTCCTATTTGTATGTGCCTGTTTGTATTGCGAAAAATAATTCTAAAAATACATGGTAATGGTGATGGCTCAGGTCGCGCGGTCGTCGTATTTAAGACTTTTACATAAGTATAAATGTACATACACGTATGTACATCCATATGAACGTGTTCTGCTTGGCATTTGCTTGAGCGCATAAAATTTTACTCCTGCGACGATGGAAATGTTTTTCATAAAATTGCCTTTATGAAAACTGAGGAGGTAAAATTTTTATTTTCATTACATTTATGAATTCTCTTTATTTTTAATAAGTGAAAATTTGAACCGAAGGTCACATTTTGTCAGATGGACAATATATGGGTAAAGAATATAGGACATGTATATTTGGTTACCATGATTCTATCTTAAAAGAAACGGACAAGTTTGTTTCTGAGTAATGCCTTTTGGAATAAGTGTGTGTTCTTTTATATTCTTACAGATATGAGGCATGACAACATCACCGGTAATATATGTACGTATTTTTGAAAATGTTAATTTTTTTGACGCCAAGGTAAGAAAAGTCCTTACTTACACATACGTATAAATTATTGTCTATAAATTTCCCACCAAAAAGAAGAGTGTTCCAAGTTGATGAACTCCTTCCTAAATTTCATTACCACGTTATCAACAACTAGGTAGAAACTATCTCATGTTTACTATTTCCTCACAATCTATATACAAGGTATCTAAAATTATAAGTTTTTTAATACTTGCGTTACGCATTTGTTCACTCAAAGCATTATACAAAAGACAATATACAAGTACATACATATGTACTTATATATACATATATATGTGCGTTTATATGACGCCGATTCAGAAGAGTTCGAATTCAGCATCAGCAGGTTGAATTGCTTCCGGTTTTATTTGTTCATAGCTAAACGACACTTCACCTATCAACACAACACTCCCATTAGTTAATTCGGCGCTGCACAGTAACGCATAAACATATCTCTATACAATCACACATACACCCGTACGAATGTGACCACATTTAAGTATTCGCGGCTTATCTTTTTATTATATGTGTGTATACACACATATACATATTATATATCATAATTAAGAAGGGTTTTCACTTAGTATACGAAATGTTTGTAATGGTGCACTTATTTCACAGATTTCCAATCCGTGCTATGGCACAATAGCAATACTCAAAAAATGTCCAATACCCACACCCGAGCATAATTATTTTCCATAGATCGCGAGAAGAAAAAAGCAACCTCGTTCATTGTTTGACTTGTATTTCCCATAATCATGCACTGGTCACCGCAAGTCTTGTTTGTTTCAATTTTTTTATAGGGTATTTCTACGGCTTTGATTATGAAAAAATACTAACCGTTTTACTTTTGGAAATACACAGATTTATTAATGCATTATTCAAAAAAAAAAACTTCTATTGATTAACATTATTAATTGAGTCGTTCATCTTTACAACGAAGAAGTAAATTCAGTCAAGATTGTATCGAGATTCGAGCCAAATCGAGAGTATTACGAACATTCCTTCCTACTCTGGATCATAACCGTAGATATACTATACATGTCATGAATAAAATATATCTTAGTGTCCAATAAAAAAGCAAACATACTTGGCGGCCGCGGTAGCCGAGTGGTTAGCATTGCGTACTGCCATTCGGAAGACTCGGGTTCAATCTCCGTGCGAGTATATATAAAAAACCATCAGCGCTTCCGAGGCGGCTTAGTATAAACTTTAGGTCCTTCCATTTGTTGCCAATTGTATATATATACACTTGGAAGTAGAGAATAATGCTGCAACTACCCAACGCGCGTACCTGCCGTCCATAGTAACCTATCTTATGAGAGCGCCATGTAAACACAAAGTTGTCACCGATTGCCCATGCCGTTAGTGACGGTTGTTCCGCAGAAACCAACGAAGTTTTGATTTTTTCCGTAAAACCAGCTCGGCTCATTTTTCGTTGCTATACAAGGTTGCCAGTATAGCTTTTCTTAAAGTAACATTAAATAATCGAAGATAACGCGTAGTTTTGTAAAAAAGAAATGAAAAATAAATGCGTAACTAATTATTTGTTACCATATAGATTATGTATATTTGCCTTGTGTTAATGTTCAAGCAAATAAATTATGAAATTTGTTGACGAAAATTATGAATTTGCTCAAAAGTGTGCAAACACACAGGCAGCTGGCAACATTTCTCCGCTCTCAGCGGCGTTGATAACTCGTGTGTTTATCTCGCCTTTTCGTCGCCACTTATGGACGGCTGGTAAGTGAAATGGGTAGTTGCAGCCTAAGGGTGCTTGTTAAAAGGGTGGTTGAAAAATGAAAGCTATTGGGAAAAAATTGTTTCCATATTAGAAAATGTGCGTCAATTTGAGATAGGAACAAATGAAAAAATCACAGGAAACAAACAAATGTTTTTTATGTTGTGCCCTGCATTTCCTAGACTAAGTGAATACCCCTAACGTATTTAGGTATATATTCTATATATTCTAGGAATGAATCTGAAATTACCGATTTTGTTGACATTTTTAAGACAGTTCAATCGAAGTGTGTGAGCTCGAATTCCCATTGGTTGCTGTTGTTATGAAAAATCAAATGGTGGTGTGGGTGACACTCTAAATATGTATACGAGTGTGTAGAGAAAAAAAGACAGAGGCCCTCGGCTTTTATTAATTTTATGATAGAAATTCACATTTGGTCTCAATCATTCGCTTAATAAAAAAATGAACTATTTTTTCCATCATACAAAAATCTAATCCGTCAAAAAATTGCACCAAAAATCCACAAATATATTTACTTCACTCACTGCGGGGCATTTTTTACGTGCTTATTGCTGAACATAGAATACCTTTGCTTTACCTTTGCTTATCTGTCTTATCAAACACGTTGCTGGTAAATCTTTCTTATTAATTTTCCAGTCAGAGAGCTATAGGTCCAAACCACCACTGAAGTTACACGTAATATATCATTATTATTCCTCTCCCCATGAAATGCTTTCCAGAAAATTAAATTGACATTCAGTTGATCCAAAAATAAGACAAAAATCGCTTAAACGGACATTACATTCTTTCAGTACTAAATATTTTCCGAGTTCACATATGAATATTTATACATTTGTATGCACGTATGCTTGTAAAATCTTATCAGATTACTACATTGTGTGTTTTTATTGCTTTAGAATTTATCATTATATTTAAACATATACATACCTAAGTTTGCTTATGCATTTGCACATTTCTATGTGTTTACAGGCATTCTATATAAGCACGTATTATGAGCAACTTTGCTATGTCGTTTGCAATAACGTCTTTCTAAAATGCGTATTCGATATGTGTACATAATTTCTTTTTTTCTCTGTTTGTATAAAGATGTTGCTGATCTACTATCGCCATTAAGTACACGATCACCTCACTCAACACATTTAACACATTCAATTTTTATTTTTACTTATTGTAAAACTAATAGTTTTATAATTTCTCACTAATATATTTTAAAAGTTTTGGTTAAAAGATTCCTCTTAAATTGTTCTTTATGTAGTCGTATCCCACCCTGTCTCACTCAGTCTTTGTTATTGATTGACACGAATTGACATATTCTGCCCCCACACTTTATTGTATATAGCGCTCATACAAAAACGTAAACGTATATGTGAGTATTGAAATATGCCAGTTAATCGCCCGTTCCACTTGTTACTCATTTGCTTTGACTCGTGCGCACTCCAGCTAAAACACGACCTCTACGCAAAAGCGTTGCAAAAACAACTGATTCTCAAAAACGGGCGGGAGATTTTTCCGTGCTCCCAATTGCTAACATGATCCTCAACCCCCCACTCTCTCTATATTCTTATCTGTTACTAATGATATTGATGAATAAACTATGAGTAGCTCTACCAGCAGAAAACATTAATAAATACTCTTTCTACTTTAACAAGAAAAAACTTAAGAGAGCATGTACATATTGCGAGTGTAATAAGAGTATGAAGCAGTTTTAGTTTGCTCTCTTTATAATACTAATAAAATACATACATACGAGTATATATGCATGTATATAATATTGATTTCGTTATATAGTGAACTAATTTACGTTTGAATGAAACAATAATATGATATATCATAAGGCCGAAGATTTTATATCAGAGGTGTAGAAGACGACTGACTCTGAGTTACTACACTCATTGAGAAACAGTCAGGTAAGTATAATTTTTTCCACACATTTTGCTGGTAATTACCTTCCGTAAAGGTAAAATAGAGATTGATCGAATTTTATCAAGCGAGGTAAGATGGTAGTGGCTAATCCTGTTTACCCTCACATTCAAATGTTTCTTGAAACTGTTGTTTATAAACCATTCATAATCGACCATAAATTAATAATCGATGTAAAATTTAGTTAAAAAACGAATGGAGGCGCTCTGCTGAAAATGATGTACATATGTATGCACACGTACATCAACACTAAACATAAATGTTCTTTTAGATAACAAGTGATAAATTTTCTGAAAGATAATTTAGAGCCATCATTATTAATTAATGTAATTAGAATTCGTTAATTATATATACTACGTTACACCTGAATTAATTGTTTAAAAAAATTGTATTAGATTTCATCACCTATTGATTAACATATCCAGCCATCTTTAAGTACATACATAAATAGGTACATACATCCGTGTGTACATGTTTTTTTAGAATTACAAATATTTATGTGAACGAAAGTCAATTAAATTTGACTTGTAAAAGTAGTGTGAGCTTGAATTGAATATGGGAACGAACGAATAAGTTGTTTGCTTTGCTATTTTGTGAATTTGATTTTGTTGTAAGAAAAGCCTTCATTCAGTGACATTTATTTATACCCTTATAATTTTATGAATTTGTATCAAAAAAACAAAAATTACGTGATATTTTAGTACATAATGCAAGCTATTATCCGACAAAGCTTCCATTCCCAGATGGTGGAGCAGGGTATCAACTTTCGATGCCTTCGTCGAAGTAGTATCTCGCGGACAGTGTCTGTATCCGAGTGTTTGGTTGGTTGTTTCAAGTTGTAGAGATCATCGCAGAAAGTTCATCCACTGTCAACCAACAATAGTCACGGAGCGGTTTTATCAGACATTCCAGTCACATACTTATGGCTATTTTTAAACTCACGACAGCAGTTTTTAACTCGCTATAAGTCTTCAAAGGAGGTTTTCCCTTCCAAATCGTGATAACGGATGACGCCACGTACTTCGCACATGGCGGAGATTAGATTGGCATTGTTCACAAAGTGTATTGTCGCGTCGACAGTTCTCAGCAAAGCTCTCGAACCGGTCGCTTAAAGCGAATTTGCCAAGAACGGAAGTATATTTTCAAAAATAAGTTCTCAGTTTATTAAAATTAGTACTTTTTGTACATTTTAATTAAAACGAGTTGACTCGGGTTCAAATCCTGATGTCGATGTAACATTCTAAAAGTTGTAGAAAATCAATTAAAAAAATAAATTAAGCCAAATATTCTAATAGCGGTCGCTCATAGGAATGGAATTTCAACCACTTCGAGAGTATTTCTGGCTCCTTATAAAAAAGCATCAGCCCTTCGGAGGCCGCTGTATATACAGTATAAGCTGTAGGACTCTCCATTTGTTGGAAAAACAACAAGACGCTAAAACACAAATTAGAGGTTTACTTAATATATATAATATATACATATACGTAATATATAATATTAATGAATCTATGTATCTAAGTATTAGATTTGTATATTCACTCCTGTATTCTTCATATGTATCATATATACATAACGTCAAGGAAAACTCGATATATATATATATATATATATGCCCTAATATTCTTATATATATATATATATATATATGCCCTAATATTCTTATATGAATGTCATAGGCACTTTTCTCCTCGATCAGTGCAGTGCAGTGCGTTGTTTACTTGCTTAACCGATGAAAAATGTGTACATCTACTAACTAAAAATTTTACTCTAATGTTGTCTATAGCCGCATAATTACTTCGCTCCATAGTACTTTTCGAAGGAGTGATTGTTTATGAAGGGCCACTGAATAAGGGCAAAATTAACTTAGCTTCCAAAGTAATAATAAAACCACAGTAATAAAACTGGCTTTACCTGAACCCAAAATGCTACAAAACCAATGCAAGTATATTAGTTGAATGCTTGAGGTAGCATTACAAAAAACAACGATGAACATGATAAATAAGTTGATTGTTTATTTGTTGGCTGAGTGAGAGATGCGCTTTGGTCATTTCGGTGTAATGGTCCTAGTAGTTCAGTGGTCAAGCTACTAACCGATGTGCACAAAGCCATGCCACGTAGAGTGTTGTTACAATTTCAAATGCCAGTAGCATCGACAAGATCGTGGTGTCTATGCAGGATACCTCATCACCGCACAAGGAATTCGATGAAGAATGTTAAGTAAAACAAGAAAGGAAAGCTGTCTTCGATCATGCCGAAGTCTTTATATATTCCATAACCATATCAAATGAATGAAATACGATATATTCGTTTTAGGATTAAATATTAATTTTCATAGCTTAAAAATTGGTTGGAGGGGGTATATGATGATGTTTCCGATTTTGATGTCTTCCGGTTTTAATGTTTATTTATATGTATATGTTTGATGGGTTGCGAGTCGTAAATTCAATTTTAATTTTTAGGTTAACCAAGGAGTCCACAATAATAGTTCCAGCACTCGCATATGTAATGGTCAATACACTAATTAGGACCAAATATAATTAAAACCTAACCAAATTAAATGTGTAATGGGCATGTATTAAGCGTGATTTAGGAGGACATTGGTCTTAGAAAAGATAGTAAATAGATACAATTCTGCGTGCAAAAAACTTAACAATTAAAAATATTCTTTTCACAATAGTAGGTCACTTAGTTATCTTGCCCACGTACGGTATATATTTATTTATCTATCTCAATTATTTTATGTCGTTGCAAAGAACTATTGCGTGAACAAACTTAATATACCCATTGCACAGTGTATAGCTTGGTATTAAAACTCTGTTCAAATTAAAAGAGAAATGCAACAGAAGCTATATAGTTGAGCAGAAGTTTGCCAAAGCACTCAACACCACAAAGCAGAAAATGAGAAAAACTGAACAAAATTAATTCTTCATGATGTTTTAAACTTGTTTCAACCAGAGCAAAATCGCAAGAATGGGTGGTTTAATATAAAGGTCGGTGGCACGTATTAGAGCTCTTGAAAAAGCAGCTACTCCTGCTTTCGCCAGTGGGACCAGCGAAGAGGAAAAGCTGCCTCAATTTGAACGCGTTTTTATATGTATTGTAAATTACATTTTCAGAATATTTGTACCTTGTTCTGACCATGTTTCGTAGCTGTACCTAACTGGGCTTATTTACTCATATTTTCATACATTTGTACATCTCTATGTTGGAATATACTTACATACACGTATGTATGCTATAATTTTCTGTGTGTTCAGTCTTATTAAAGTTTTCTTGCTTGGCTTGTTGCTATAATTGTGTATCCGTGCGCATTGAAAACGGATGTTAAAGATTGCTACAGCCATTACAGCTTCCAGCTATCCCAAATACAAAATATTTCCTTCTGAAATATGCCCAAAGAAAGTTCATCTGCATCTATAAGTATATAAGCGTCTTTCAATGTTAAATACTGTCTAATATGCAATATTTATCATACCATTATTATAGCCTTCTTAATTTCCCTTTTAATTTATTTTTAGTTAAGATATATCACAAAGAGAGAATATTTTATGGCAGGGTTTGTAATATTTATTCGAAAAGTATACGATCTTTTGGCGGTCGATGTAGTCGAGTGGTTAACATTGCGTGTTGGTTCAAAAACTTATAGAAAATTATTTTACATAAAAAATTAAGAACAATTGTTTTCTCAAAAACAATCTACTCCGTTGCTGTTTTTGTATATCCACATTTTTACATTTTTAATTCACGCATATAAAAATACATACAATAATATTAAAAATGCAGAGACGCTGAACAAAACGTAACAATTTTTTTCGTTAATGAGAAGAATTAAACGAAGTTAAATTAATTTTAAAATGGCTGCAATCTGAAATTTTCAAACATTAAACAAACATTTTAACACTAATACTAGCAATCTTTTCTTTGTATAAAATGCAAGAGGAGCTAAACTGGCGTGATTACATCTTGTTAAATTCGAATGTGAGCGCAAGATGCTTTTTGTTTACATTAGCCCTGTTTGGGAAAATATAATATTTAGGAAGTAAACAGTTAGTTGCAGCTATTGGAGATTTATGAAAATACATAAACTAAAACTCGAGAAAGTTTTATTTTCTTGGAATAAATCAAAAATATTTTTTTTTATTTTTGGGGATTTTTCCTAAAGAGGCTTTTTGTTAAATAATAAAGCTTGTAGTGTGGGTTTGTTAAAACTTTTCCGACATCGGAAAGAGCTCCGTTGATGGTTTTGTTTGGTTTGCCAGATTCAGAACACAAGTGCTTTCTTCCATCTAAAAATAATTGAAACGATTTAGAGAATACGAAACTGATCAAAAAACATAAGCTCATGATGTGTTGAAAAGCATAATCTATATTTGGGCGATAAGCGCAAGGAAATTGTTGCGAATAAATGGACATAAAATTAATTAAATCTAGTTCGTTATAAGTAATTATTACGATTGTGTAAATAATTCAAGAAAGTGTAATAAAAATTCTAATTAATTTTATTTTATATGTAGTGTACTTGTGTAGAAGAGTTGTCACCAGAGTTTGGTTTATACGTGGCTCAATAAGGCAAACTTTGAACCACTCATATTCGTTATATAACTTGTGTTAACTTATTGGAAAAAAGGTCGCACCCATTTGCCATATGAGCTAACTATGATTTGAAACGAATCAGAAATCACATTTCCGATTGCAACTCCTGTCTTACGAATATAAAAAGTTTTATTTTCCAGCATAAGAGCATGACTCATCTGAAGTCTTCCTCCACAATTCCATATTAAATAAGGCCCTTTTAAAACTTTTTTTAGGGCGATAGATCGTAATGAAATAGTTTTTTTTTATTTAAGAGAAAAACAACAGTTGGATCTCAATCAAGGAGTTAAAAAAGATGCACTGTTTGGAGAAAAAATGATATTATTGTATGTTACAAAAAACATATGCTGATTCACACCCAAAGTGATCCATTTCCCGGAAAGAATGATTCAGGAAATAAAAGTTTTCCATTTAGGCACATTAGCCAAAAATTTAACCAAACCGTATCATGAACAAATTGAACCACAAGTATAATATTATATTTCGAATAGTCGCTTTTCAAGAACCATGGAAGAGTTATCAGAAGAAGATGATCATCTTTCAATGGGCTTAAATACTTCTCCGTTATATATTTTAGTACAAAGTATCATCTTTCTAACACCATCTAGCGCAATCCAATCGCACTTATAGAACGAGAGATACTGCTCACTAAAGTTGTATTTACTAAAATAGCGTAAAATAACGTAATAACGTAAAATATTTACGAGTATATAGATATGTGGGAGAGAGGGTACTTTCTCTTTCACCCAAGAGCTCAAGAAAAATGATCTTTGAAGTAAATATAAAAAATGTATATAATAATTATAGTCAAATGTGGAGTTTGAACAAATTTTACAAATAAAATCCAAATTGTTGTGAGGATAGCGTGATTTTGGAGTTTAGTTTTTTAGCTTATGTCGTATAAGCCCTTCCCTAAGGATCAGTTATAGATCCGCCTCTCTCACACTTAGTTAAGATTCAAAGATACAAAGATTATATTGTATATTTTGATTTTAAATAGTCACACTTAGTAGTTTGTGAATAACTCAAATAAATGATTTATTAATTTAAACTATTTATAATTTGACATTTAAATATATATGTTAATATTCATATAGACATAGATATTTGTACCACCACACCATATTCATTCCGTATTAAATAAAATGATTACGAGACATACATACGTTTACATATATCGTACAGGTTAATAGGCTAGTTCGGACTTCTTAACAATTCTGATTTTGGCATAAAAACATGTATAGCACCTTCTGCGAAATGATATTAAGCTACCCCATTTTTCATCTACCTCATTTAAAATCTTAAACCGAACTATTATCCTGCATTTTTATGCAATATAAATTTCTGTTTATTTGAACTGAATTGAAAATTTGTAATTTTTGAACTTATTAGGATAATTCATTCTTACAAGTAATAGTTTCTACCTCTTTGCTGAGTCAAAACTATAGATTTTTGTAAAATATATGCACTAAAGTTGTTTTTAATTTAGTGTGATATTTTTTTGAATCTTCTACGAAATTAGAACAGATCAGTCCGAGTACTAGTAAGTAGCTTAGTATTATTATTTATGAATGTGTGGTATTTTTAAAGCTCCATTTGGATTTTCATTTAATAATGATATATATATATATATGTATGTATGTTTTTATCTATTCTACTTTTATAAAGAACAGTAAACTTGAGTACATGTGCTAAATATTTAGATTATTAATATCTACATACATTTTGGAAATGCACATCCATTTAGATCATTTACGTAAATATGAAAAAATCGTTACTTTGCAACAGAATAAAGTTACAGCAAAATAATATTTTATCATAAACAGATATACAAAATGAATTGAAAAAATATATTTCCTGCTTGAAATGTTGATTCCATATACATATGCATTTCTCTTAAATAGCCAGTTACGTAAGGATTCAGGCATTTTTTGATATTTACAATTTTCGCCTAGTGCATATAAACTTTGTCAGTTGTTTTACAACAAAGAACATTCCGGCATTTACTTCTTAAAACACGATATAGGATTAAAATAACATTGGCGATATCTAACTTGACGCTTTGACTCAGGCATACGGAAAAGTTCGTTCATTCCGGGGTTCCATCCAGGTGTTCGTCCGTAAGATCTGAAAAGGTAAAACATAATAGGCTGTGTATTTATATATCTGTTAAAATTTTCCAGATTTTTTTTTAAAAATGTATAGCTTACGTAGGTCTGTATTGAGCAATTAACATTTGCAGGCGATCGAGTGGGACAGCTGAAAAGGAAGCAGTCACTGGTACCTCATAGTAGCTGTTGCGGCTCTCATCGATTTCCTGCCCAAAATTACGAAGATCCTGTAAAAAAAATTTTGTTTCACTGGACTTCAACTTTTTTACAATTCTGCTCAGAAAAGTGTTTTATTTTTAATTTGATAAATACAATTTGGAAACGTGCATGGGAAATTCCTATTATGTATGTAAAGATTGTGAATGTTTTTATAGAAAAAATGCTATCAATTTGGAGCATCCAATGTTTGATATGATAAACTAATACTGGTAACACAAAGAGAAAAATTTAATAATCAATAGTAAAATTAAATAGCGACCGCTGTGGCCTTGGTCAAGCATCCCTTACAAGAGTTAACAAGAAGTGTTTTCCCTCTTCAAGGGAATAAAGGAGCCACTTCTATCTAAAGTTAACCTTCTCAAATATTACATAAGCATATAACAGCGTTGTCTAAGCTTGGTCGGTAGGAGGCAGAGGATGTTTAGAAGTAGAGAAGGTGGTGTTAAATAATACCTTGGTATTCATAGAGCTTTTTGGCTCTTAATGGAGTTCGGTTGTGAACTCTATAGTAAAATAAAAAATAAAAATGGTGCGGGGTGACCATTCCTCTTTACACACTATGTATTTATTGGGTGGAGCTCAGGGTAGAGCTCCATGTTCGAAATTTGAAGATGGTGCGTAGTAACTATTATATTTTTTGCGTTGTGAGTTTATTGAGCATTTGTTTATTCAACCAAAGCATGCCAATGCGAAATTTAAGTGTACTCTATAAAAATTTATTAAAGTAATATCACAACACATGTCAATGTTGGTTCTAATTCTGTCATTTTTGCGTTATACGTTATATAGTACGTATAAACTTAAAATTACAATCACATGTTTTTATTACCTGATCATTGTCCAGAACACTTTGGGGTCGTGATTCTATTGAAGCTATAACCATCATCAGTATGCTGCAAAGAACGACGGTACACATTGTCCTCATCTTTTTTCGTAAGATCCGATATGAAAGTATATAAGAAAAACTTTTATTTCTAGTTTGATTATTAGTTTGTCGAAATCTGGATTTTTAAGATGAAATATCTTAAAAACATTATTCAGAAAAATTAATATTGTTAAATAGAAATAGCCTCGATTCGTTGACTCATTCTACTCGGCAATATTATGTACACAAACTAAATAAGGTTTGTAGAACTCTGAAGTTACTTAGCCGATTTTGTTAAAATTTCGCATTCGCCAGTTATGATGTTGTTTCCGGAAAGTGGACGGGAGGAGTTACTAGGTAAAGCTAAATTTCATAATTTAAAAGTTCAACAATTATAATGCAGAGCTTAGAGATAGAGAAAAAAAATGTCGGAAACTGATTAGATGACGAACTTCACATATGTTTTCTTTGAGCCAAAATCTTCAGAAGACTAGACAGAAGAGCATCGGAAATATCACCGATAGGGAAAACACTTCTTTTAAACCATATACTTTGAATTTTATATTTTATCTCATCAAGTACACATCTGATGGTTTGTTAACAGATTTTACAATATTTGAGTACACTGAATGGTATTGGAAGTAACGTTAAAAAACCCCTAATTAAGGTTTATCTAAATAAAATTATTAAGTTTTTTATTATATTATTAATCTAACTATCACGAAAATTACAATATGAATGTCTCGATGTAAATCAAAGCACCATTCGGATATATGCTTCTTCACACTCAAGTTGAACATTTAAGAATCGCATGGAACCCGCACACACCATCGCACGATATCAGCATACTTCCAGTAGAGAAGAGTACCGCGTGTCAAGTAAATCGAACCATAAATGCAATTTTGGCGAATATTTCGGTCCGTTATCCACTTCACAAATAATTTCCATCGAACAGTGAGATTACCGGATCTTAACAAGCGAGCATAAGATTTACGAGTATATATGTATATATATAGATAATGTAAGTACAAATTAATTCATTAAATTATTTATATTTAATATTATTTTAAAAATCATTCTGTTTATAATACATTAAATATTTAGACTACTTTGAAAAGTAAAATAAAAAAGAATAGATTTATTTGTCACATGAAAAAATGACGTGATATACATATAGTACGTATTAACAGCGTGCTCCTATGTATTTTAAGTATTTTTGAAGCTTTAACTGTGTCATAAGTCAACATTATTTATATATACAGTACATAAGTATTAAAAACATTAAGATATAATCGCATGTGCTTGTGCTATGTATGTATGTCTTTTATAATATTATATTACAGCCATATTCTGAAACAGTTTCCGAAGATGGCACCAAACACCAAGACCGATGTGATTAAAATTTTGCACATACACACTCGCAAGTTTCCATTCATGTTAATTTCCAATTCAATATTAAACCACAAACTAATTTTCATTCAGGATATAATATCCTAATCAAAGCGTGTGCAAGTTTTTATATTTTTTGTGATCCGGACTAAATTTTCACCTATGAAAATTAATTGTTGACGGTACATTTTTTGGAAAGGTATTCTAACAAACGAAGGAACCTACAGCTGAAGGATTTTTATGGGAACCTTTTATTTTCTATAATTTTTTTTATTGGTTGGAACTCACTAGCCACTCGGCTAATGTAGACGACATATTTTTGATTTTTCAGAGGCTAAGAGAAAAACTGCTGTATTTTGTTATTTTATAATCAGCTGACCAAAAACAAAAGAATAGCAATAATGTATAACATACATATGTACGAATGCATGTACGGACTTGTGTGTATCTAGATCGTACAGCTATAATTTTTATTCATTTCATTTTATTTTAAAAGCTTCCAAAATGGGGCGATAACTCAAGAGCAGCAATTTATTTAATAATTTAATAATAACCAAAGTTATTAACTAGCTTTGCGATATCGTCTTTTGGCGTTCAGTACAGGGTATATTATTAATGAAAAGCCGCTTTTAGCAAAACTGTTGCGCTTTTTTGGCTGAACTAATATATTTTTAGATTTATACTAGATTCGCAATATGCAAATAAAAATATCGGCACAAACAAAAAAAAAAAAAGAAATTTAGTTTGTGGACCAGACTCTACCTATCTACCGGTAATAAGATATAAAAGGATACAAAGCAAACATAATTTTTATGTATTTCAATCCGTTGACCGTATTTAGACCATATACCTTTTTTCCTTTATTTAAATGTTATAATTCAGGACAAAATAATTAAAAAAGGTCGCCAGGTCGTATCAGCAACATTTAGCCAACGGAAAAAGCAAAAATTTTTAACTCAAATATAGAATGAAACAGCTGACCCTATGTACGCCTTTGATTAGTATTCAACGGATTGAAATACAGTAAAACTATATTTTCTGGAAATTTCAGAAATGGTCCAGGAATTGGGAGAGGAATCACCGGCAGAATGACAAAAATTATTATGAATTGGATAAAAGCACAAATTGTGCGCAGGTATGTTCGTAGCACAGTGATATTATTCTGCGACTACGGGCTAAAAACTGTTGTAATAAAAAGCTCGGAAGGCCAGGGCTCCAGTGGTGGTTCGACCAAATCCAAAATTATAAAAAAAATTTGTCTTATTGCGGTCGCCCCTAAGAAGCAAACGTCAAGATCTTCGATTGTTTTAAATAAAAGCTCCTCCTAAAAATATATCGGCTGTTCGGATGCAGCTTAGGATAAAGTGTAGATCTCTTCATTTATTTGAAAACCATAAAAACGCACACCATAACGTGGAAGAGAAGCCTGGCCGAAAATCGCCGATTATATATATAAATATACAATTATAGATACAAAATTAAAGTTTAAAAAAAGTATATGTATAGGAAAATCTATTTTTATGCCTGACTTCCCAAGCCTCACTCACAAAACAAATGTGGCATTGCCGTGCCACGAAATGGTAAATGTATCACGTTTCAGATGGCAATGTAATCGAGACGCGACAAAGAGCAATCAACGCATCCCTAAAGTTGATTCACAAACAAAATTCTGGCGTAATAGCAGATTTGGAAAGGTAAGACAAATCGATGTTAAAAGTTTTATTTTATTTTATTAGTACTTGGTGTTCTTTTTTTTAATTATGTAGTCTTACGAAACGCTGAACAAAAAAAGAAAGCAGATATTTGCAATGTAATATTTTAAGTTTATATGAATGAAAATTCTATCTATTTTATTTCAGCCGCAGAAAAGAAAAGTAATTAATTTTAGAAACAACAGAACTTAAAGATGCGTTCCGATAATCTGTCACATCTTGTTAAACTATTTTGTGACTATATAAATTTTTAAGAAGACACAATAAATCGAATCTTATGTGTATGTAATATTTTCTTCTCCAGAAGTCCGCACGTGCCATAAATTCAACAAGGTTAAATGTTTTCCTAAAGTTACAACTTCTCATTCCTACTAAAGAAAAATTTGGCGAGAATAAATATCGCGACAGTAAATTTGTCTTGCGATGGGGACGCCTTTAACTTATGCATCTGTACATACATAACTTTGTGTACTATGTATATATATATACCACCGCATTTGGAGTTACATAATTCATTCAGTCCTCCATTCATTCATCCATATCAGTACGTTGCTACTACCTGATTGAAATGTAATATTTCTTCGCAGGTAACGAGATGCATTTCCGCAAATCGTGCTATGGTAGTCTTGGCATTGTAAATTCCAAACGAATAACCAGAAGCAAAAAGTTTAATTGCAATTTTGCAACAAGGCTTCGTATTCACAACAAACAATATGAGAAAGCCCTAATTTTACAAACGAGTAAGAGTGAATGAATATATGTCACATTCATACTCTATGACAAAGAATTAAGAAATATTTTTCTTGCATTGGAATTGTGAGAAACGCTTTCCGGTGCGTATAGTTTTGTTTGATTTTAATGCCTTGTTGCGTACATAAGGATTGAAAAAATGTAATTTCATTAAGTTTACATATACGTTTTGATTATATATTTTACTAAAAATAAAAAAGTAATTTTCCAGTTAATACTGCAAGCACTTACATCCCTTCCTAAACTCTCTTGCTCGTAGCTGCTTGTTCCTGCGAATAATTTTATGCCACAGCTAGTCTGTGATTAAGTATTTATTGCCTTTATTCTTAGATGCAGTAGCATAGTTAATATTTTTGTGCATATGCACAAATGTTTGCATTCCGCTTATTATTAGTCTACATCAATGAAAATGCCTCAACACTGAAGTCTACCTCTTACAGCTATAAAACATATAAGTACGTATGTTATGTTGTTAAACATATGTTATCGTGATATAATACAACATAAAATTTAAAATTACACCTCGAACCTCCATTTTTAATACATTAGAGCCAATTCGAAAATAAAACGGACGCAGTACGCTACCAGGCGGTGGGCCGCGTGCTCGACTCCCAGCCAGAATTTTAGTTTATTTAAAAATAATTTTCTAATACCGGTCTTCTTGAAGCTGTCTTCGTATAATTGCAAACGACAGTATTAGTAAAGGGAAATGCTAAAAAGTTCAACAAGGGAAGAAGGTTTCAAAGAGGAAGATGTAGACACATCTAGAGGTGGAGCAGAACTCATCTTCATCTGATATCTCCAATAAATGGAGAACATCAAAAAGAAATGCATGACGCGCTATTGTTAATTCGACTATAAAGATGTAAACGGTGCCCACGCCAAAAAAGAAGATATGTAGTTCATACGGTACGGTAGATAGCAGTAGGTGCTACTGGCTAGACCAAAATCCGAAATTTTTTAAGAAAATTCATTTTCTAAATTTGGTCGAAATTAAATTTTAATTCCTCCGCACAAAAATGCATCTTTCATTTGGACCATCTTAAAAGGTCTCTAAATTTAATGTAAAAACATTAAGATGCTCTTCACAAGATGCATAAGGAGCTCGGCTGCGCAGTATTCGGCTATAAAGAGCAAGTATATAAAAAAATATATAAAGTTACAATAATTAGTAAAATCGTGAATACAGGAGAAATAATATGATGGTGACGATGGTTGTCGCTAAGTTTCTCCACTTATAAGTCAGAAATCAGAAATAACCATTATACATTGTACATCTCATACATGTATGTATATGCTGATGCCATTTAAACTGTGGACTATCAAAAAGATGTTGGGTGATGTATAAAACTGATTAGATGATTTATTGCTTCTAAATCATTTTATTACTAAATCAACTAAAGTGTGACGCCTTTTTAATGGGCATTTTAAAATGTCTGTTCTCGTCACCTACGACAACTTTCGAAACATGCTGTACGTTGGATTGTTATTATTTATTAGATACAGTAAAAATATTAAATTTCAATGTAGTTACTAGGATATTAAATTTCCTTGCTGGTACATACATACACAGGTACATTGATAAAATGTGTCTACCTTTTTGAAATAGAAAATACATAACTCATAATATATAAACGCGATTTTATCAACCATATTACACATACATTAATAGTCATGGTAGGTCCTACATTAGTATGAAAACCATCAAGACGTATACATATTACAAATTTCAGGTGAAGCTAAAGGGAAAGCGGTTTGAAGCTCTAGCCGCTAAAAAATCATTTGCCAAATTCAAATCTATGTCATTATAAAATTTCTGGGCAATAATGCAAAGATATTACAATAATATTTATTTTAGTAATTGGCGTTCTGTAACCGCTGCACCGATTTTCGGCTCCTCCGATGTTTTCCCAGTAAATAAAAGGCCTACTGTCTATTCTAAGCTACCCTTCAACGGTAGATGAATTTTAATAAGTAGCTTTTATTTCATGTCAGAAATAAACTTGGAAGACTAGATATTCCCTGCCGCGGAGAGACGCAATTGGAAAAATTGGAATTAATGGTCTATAACTTTAGATGTTGATCGACCAAGGGGACCAAGGAAATAATTCATGGCTATAACCGCTGTTAATGTTCGAATTAAAAAAAGTAAATTCAGCCGTGGGACAGTAAATTCTGGTAGGGGGCGGAAACTTTCGATATTATATTTATAATATGTTTGTTTTACGTACTGCCATTCTGAAGGCCAGCGTTCAAGTAAAATGGGCAGTGGGACAGTAAGTTCTGGTAGGTGGCGGAAAATGTAAGCTCGCTACAAAACGTGCGTAAAATCAGGCTTACGGTGAGAATGTTATAAATGCACCCCGGACCCAAGGTTGTCTTGTTGCGAAATATCGAGGAAATTCTGCAAGGCCGACATGCAAGCTCTTAGCAGATTGCGGAGACATTATGCACCACTCAAGCGACAGTTTGAGTGCCACACGAATTAAGTCAAAAAAGTTGTCCGAATCACCTTTAGGAAAGCGTTTCTGATATGTGATAATATCGAAACATTTCTCATCACTTGTGGAAAAATGTGCTTAATTCAAGAATATAAAATGAAAAAAATCAAATCAATATCAAATGTCTTCGAATCTTCACAAACGACATAATGTCAATTCTGTTACTATTATCTATAGAACAACAAGCCCAGACCACTTGATTGCTGGAGGTTTGTAGGAATGTTTTGATGCACACACCACATACTCCGGATCTTACACCATCCAACTGCTTTTTATTTCGTTCTCTGCAAAACTATCCTTGGCCAAGTCCTTTTCCGATAGAAGTTTTACGCTGTTGAAATAACGAAACTCCCCGGGAAATGGCAACAGGTCATAAATAATAAAATTCAATTGTAATATTAAAACTTATCTTCTATTAAAAGACATGTTGTTCAAAATTATACAGAAAAGCGGGGATTTCATATATAACCAATAAATATATATGTGTGTATCTCATAATTGGAAACAAGCAATAGCCGCTTAATACCAACTAATAAAATTTGTAGCATAATTTGCCCTGCAAGGAAAAATACTAGTTGTTAACTAGAATCAAACTGATAAGCAGATTTGCGCTAAATAGTACATCTTTCATCTATTTTCCTTGTATCCAACTGGTATTTTTAACACGGCGATGTCCGATCGCATCAAAATATGAACAGCGGGGTAGTGAAAATTCTGTTTCACCTTTAGTGAGACTCGAACCGTGAACGATGGTGGAAATTTTTATTTCTCCAGTTACTTGTACTTGTGGACAACTACACAAATAACCAACTGTATGACTTAATCATCAAAATATTAGTATTTCACTAGTGATTTATTCACATGAATGATTTATTTAAAAGTAAGATCTCATACGTTAAAAATGATTTGAAAACATTGGGATGATTTGAATTAATAATAAAGGAGAATAATTTTTACGTTTTGAGTATACAAAAATCGTAATAAATTGAAATAATTTCTTCGTTAGTATGTTCATATCAACGCAGGAGGGATACTCATTCCATTTTATGTCTAATTAAGAGCCCACATCTTTTTCTTTGTATTTATTTAATCGCACGGTTCATTTGGTAACAATACGCCAAAGTAGTTTCGAAAAAGTTTTTAATTATTTCAAACAAAAGATGACCAATCACATATATTTGGTGTGCTTTAATTTCGACTAAGCAGTTGTAGCAGCAAGATATCCAGAATGTCATAACGTGAAAGAATGGCTTATTACAAAAAGTATCATATACAATACCAACATAACAATAATGACCATTGATGGGAACTTGAAACTTAAATTAGAAATGAAGTCTCATAAATGATGAAAGCAAAATTACCGAATCGCAAAGAGAGCCAAGCATTAATTACCTATGACAAAGTTATAATTACACATACTTGTATTTAAGAGCACATTACAGACTTTTGAATAAAAGCTTCATGAATTTTGAAATATTATAAGTTCGTTTTGATTTTAAAAGCGCCCTCTCATCACCCACCTCCTATAGAGTAAATTTTTCTAGTTCCGCTAAGCGGTTTGGGGTATTTTTGAAAAGAATGTCCGTCTGTATAAGTTACTAGAATAACTTGTTTCAACTTTTTTTCACCTTGCCTTATCAAACCGAGCAGAAAGGTTTACAATAAACAATAATACATATATTATAAGAATACATCTTAATTTTAATTAATACCTGTTATTGTAAAAATTAATATTATATTTAATTGATTCCAAAATATTTGGAGATATGTTACTTATGATGCTATTTACCAATTGTCAATACCAATATAGTTGTTATAGCTTATATATATAAAGTTGGCACTTTGAAGCAGCTGGCAATTTCAAACTGCTGAAATGATGTTCGCCTGAGCTCCGTTTCTAGTTTATACCAAGCCGCCTCCGAAGGGCTGATGGATTTTTATGAGAAACTTTGACTTTCATAACAGAAATACATTCAGAGGCCTTTACAATCCCTGTCGAGAGGCGACCGCAATTAAAAAACTTATCTTTTTATAATTTTGGATATTGACCGAACCGTGGCCTTCTGAATCACTTCATAAATGCTAACCACCATTGCATACCACTTTAAAACATTTTAAGGTGTTAACTTCTCTTTTCGGTTTTTAGTGATATCTCCCCGAAAAAGCAGCAGTTTGTAATTATTGGTAATTAGCGATATTGATATTATCTATCAATAACGAGTTTCACCAAGACTCTGGATATACGAGTATATATATATTTTACATGTTTGTGTAAGGACTAAATTTTAGTTTCATCTGAAATCAATAATTTACAATAATTTTAATAATTTTCCACTTTCAAACAAATTTAACTTGGTAAGCTTAAGAACAAGTTTTGTTCTGAAGACCTAAGGTCATAAAACGAAAATTCTCGTTAGTTTCACAGTTGTATAGGTGCTATTTCGTGTAAAAAATTACGCTAGTTATTTGAAATCCTGTTTTAAAAAATTAGACAAAAATTTCAAAAGTTTCAAAAGTTTTTTTAAATTATTTTGAATATTCTTTATCCATTTTCTGCACTGAAGATATTTGGCCTAGCTCGTACTCGAATCACTTAATGAATTTTTATATTTCAGCAAATATTGGCCACTCATTGATGTAATCTAAAAATTGTGTAACATAATTGTAAGCGTTTAGCGCATAATCAATTTGATTATGTGAACTTCGTACATATGGATAATACTTCGGTATAGCAATATGTAAACAAAACCTTGGTATCGGTTTTATAAATCTTGTTAATTCGAATATACTTACCGTTATTATGGAGCTTTAGTTCAGATTGACTTCCTCTGATTGCGAATAAACAATTAATGCGGCAGGTAATATCACCCCTGCTAGTATAATGTAAATTTGCGAAGTTAAAAAAAATCTGTTAACATAAACTTAAAACCACAACTGTAACACTCAAACAGTTATAATTATTGCTCTTTACACTGTCGCTTCTGCCAGCAATCTGATGCGATACCACTCATTGCCTTAGCCTTTTATACAAAACTTTCTCAGAAATCGCGTGGCTTACATTTGCACCCGCAACATTCACGTCATAGTAAACATGGCGTTGGACATGGATTCGTTACAGTCAAAGTGATAAAAACAACACTTTCTACAGGAGACACAGCTAGGAACAATGCCTTGAATTCGATATATTATCGTTTCAAACTCGGTTCGATATTAACGTGTTTTGTAATGTATATGTTAAAATGTATGGCATTGCAAATGGGGTTGGAAATGTTGTCCAAGTTTACACATATATTATGAATGTTTGTACTTATATTCTCGGTCAACGTAAGCAGATTTCATATACATACATGTTGATGCAACTTTTACTAAAAACACATTGCTTTTGGCAACATTCTCTTATGGCCAGTAACGATTATCTTTATACCTGTTGCGTGCTACTATTTCCGGTAATTAAAAAAGGTTGTATGATGGTATTAGTGGACATTTATGTATGTACCTTGTAAAAGACGCGTCGTGTCCGTTGTGAGTCGCAATACAACATACGACTAATACCTGTTTTCATCCCTTTGTTGATCTGTGGTGATTTTATCATTTTTTCAAATATATCTTATAAAGGAACATATAATGTACCCAAACGGATATAAATGTGCACTGGTCTTAAGTGAAAAAACGTGTGTATAGAGTTAATAGAAGTTTTTTACTATCCTTGTTTTTAAAAATAATTAGGAGCAGTTATATGAATTGTTATCACTATTTAAACCATATCATACTTTAAATTTATTTTTATTTTATTTATTTTATTTATTTATGAAAGCTTGCATAACAAAAATTTATTATGGAAACTATGGTACGCAGCGCTAGCAACATCATGCAGAATTGTAACCGATAGAGGCTAGAGTAGTCGTCTGTAATCCTTTTTTATATCCATTTTATTTTACATAGAATATTTGTTTGGAATAAAACAATTTACAAATTTATTTGCGTCGATCTATTGATGTTATAGTATTTATAATCAATGAGTGACGCGTCGAAATATAAATTTTGCCATGTTTCCACGTTATGGGCTTAACCTTTTACATTTCGTTTCCTTATCCATATTTTTTGAAATTATATCTATATATGCATTCATAAATACATAAATATAATCCCAGCAGCTGCTATTTCACAAGTCTACTGTAAAATAAACACATGCATTTGCATATATTATGTGTACATATATGAATCCATTCACATATTGTACATAATTTATCAATTATCTTAACTTTGAGAACGATAGCAGATTAACTAGATTTATAGTTTGGGACTTTTATGAAAACATGATATGCACATTGGAATATGTAGTTTTTGTGTATGTAAAAATACTACTGATATCAAAAACATAAATGTTTATGAAATCAAAAAATTTACTTAAAAATGGATAATTAAAATAGATATATATAAGACCTCTGAATGTATTTCTGACATGAAATAAAGCTCCTCATAAAAAACCATCAGCCGTTCGGAGGCGGCTTAGTATAAACTGTAGGACCTTACCTTTGTTGGAAAAACATCAAGATGCAAAACCACAAATAAGAAAAAATCGCTTCAGTGGCTACAAAACGCCAATTATATATATAAGTATATATATATTATATATCTATATTCTTAAATAATTTCTTTGTACCAATTTCAATCCCGTTCATCAAAATCAAGAAGCGTTCTCTTATGAATTTCTCTGCCAGATGAGGGCAAGGAGTCTATCAAAAGTAACAATAATTTGCCCCGAAGATATATAAGGAAAAATTCCCTTGAGAAACATTAAAGTACAACTAAAAATAAGAGGAGATTAAATGCTTCATACCGTACTCAGTTCTCTGATAAACCGTCAGTTCTTAGATATTGACAAAAAATGTAAGCTATGATAGAAATACATATGTATCTAAAGATTTGAGCCGCGTAACCGCCACGTAGCACGCTTTACGTTCAATTAGTGAGGTATGCTATATTAATTTAAGATCTTGATTAATTAGGTTAAATTTTATATTATTATTTTTGGATTACTGCATGATTAATTGATTATTGTACGGGAACCACAATATATATATATATTTATTTTTTTTCAAACCTCAGGTAAGAATTTCTGTTTTTTTCCTCTTTCCTCCCTTCAGGGCAAAAATTTTTTTCCATTCCTTCTATGAAACTAACTTCGGACTATATCCTATATCCATATAAAAACTATACCACCACTTCAAATTTTCATTTCTATTTATTTTTTTTCAAACCTCAGGTAAGAATTTCTGTTTTTTTCCTCTTTCCTCCCTTCAGGGCAAAAATTTTTTTCCATTCCTTCTATGAAACTAACTTCGGACTATATCCTATATCCATATAAAAACTATACCACCACTTCAAATTTTCATTTCTTTAAAATGAGTGACTTTATGAAAATAATACATCCGCCCTGTTTTCAGATTAATTTTTATTTTATTTCAATTCTAAAAACTTTTCCCTTTCTACTTTCCAACAGTGCTGCAATTCTGTTTTAAATACAGGCTATTTAGGTTTTAAGGGTATCCAATGATTTATGTTAAGAAAAACTACATTCTTAAAGTCCTCTACATTGTTCATAAACTTTTCTTACAAGATTCTAGATAGAATTTCAGCCAGGAAAATAGCAAGCCAGCTCAGAGAATTAACATAATTATCACTGCACCAAACCTCTGTTGTCCTATTGTCATGAAAAGTATCATGTTTATTTGATCAAAAACACGAAGGAGGAGTACAAATGGCGCCACAAAGTGGGGAATTCGATGGTTGTACGTCGATAAAGGTGTTGGGCTGTGACAAATTAGTAGATCTTCTTGTTTGGACTGCTATATTTCCTGACCGAAATCCTATCGGGAACTATAGGGTCCTACTTTTAAGTAAATGTGACGAAAACAACAAGAAAATCCAACATGAATAATATAGATAAAAAAAACAATAAAAAGAGGTGCGCTCTAATTATTTATTTGAAGTGGTTGTTCTCAAGTTACTTACATATAGTCACTCTATTTGAAGAAATTGTAAAATTTTAAGTTGTGATATAGTAATGACGTGGACTGTATATATGTATTATCTTCATTGTCAATACGGACCGATCCGAATGGTGCGTTTCACTTACTTCGATATTTACGTGATAAACTAGATCAGTAACTAGATCAGTAATAAATATAATAAAAAACTTAATATTTTGTGTCAAATGATACATAATTACAGCTGTGCAATGACAATTAAAAGAATAAAGTTCCTCAAGAAGCGACTTTAATTTTTGCATTTAGAGAATTCAAGTTAAAAGGAAGGCGTTGAAAAAAATCTTATTGAAGTAAGCCACAGACATCTTGAGCTTCAAGTAGTACAAATATTGAAAATGTTTTACGAAATATATTTGTTTCTGTTTAAATAAGTAGGGTCTGCGGTTTCGATGTTAACGTTTCCCTAAAAAATATACATAAAACCGAGACGCCCCGATAAGATCACATCCAGCAGCTGAATAATTTTTCAATCAATATTTTACTAATTTTCAATAAATTGTATAATACAACATTGCGACTATTATCGCTATGTAGGTATGTAGTCCTAATTTATATCAGGCTAATCTGAACTTCTTTCTTTGAACTAAAAACATTAGATACATCTAATGAAAAGGATTGAAAATTAATCTTTTTATATTATTATTTAGTCAAATCTGGTAAAAATTTTCATGATCGCTTTTTTAGGTAAAAGTCAGCGCCGAAAAGCTTGTCCAATTACGCACATTCTAAACAAAAATAATGGAAACAACATACTATTAAATATTCCAGTAAAAAGGTTATTATATTCCATACATATAAACATATTCATTTATCTTTATTTAATATAGTTCTTCAGTACGCGAGTTTCTTCCGGGAACATGGAACCGAATTATTGTAATAAATCGTATGTAGTGGCAGATTTAACGAAATCCCTTTCCGGGATATAAATATTTTTTTTTCGATGTTCAACAAATTGGCATAAATTGGTGTAATTTCTTTTATTCAAATAACATCGATTGTTTGTATGTATGTAGGTATATACGCTGCGCTATGTTAGAAGTTATGGTTGATCATAATCATTGACACTGCTAAATAGAGGTTATACGGTAATGGCGATCGGCTTATTTTGCCTTTGAGCGGCGAAAAAGCGGTTCATTTAATATTTCTGATTTACACTCCTATTTCCAGTTTCCAGAAAAATAGTCTGATATCGCTGAACCCACTGCTGCTATTTACTTTATTTTTGTAAATGTAAGTTCTTCGTATTCCTCTCCTACCAATTTACTACATGAAACTTCTGCATTAACATTACCATAATTCATAAACACACTTCGCGCCTTTATCCGTAAAGGAATAATATAAAGTCTGCATCATTATACAAACACTTTGAATGATACTGTGGAAGCCTTGTCACGTATTTTTTTATAGCTGTAAATTTAATTGAATGCCGGTTTCCTAAGTTCCTTACTATTAACATATGTACTTGTGTATGTATATGGCAAAAAGGGAATACTTTTTATTTTACAGTATGTCCTTAGGTTGTTATCAGCTAACGGTTATGGCAGAGCATTAGACTAAAAGTGCATCTTCTTTGGCGAATATCTCTTCCAAAACCCATTAAAAAGTTTTATTGGTTAATGCATTTTGCACAGCATGAACATTGAAACGTTGAAAATTGTATCACATTTTAATAACTTTTTCAATAATTGGCATGTTCTAGCGTACGTTAAAAATGTATTTAACTTACATTTACAAAGCATGTTTACATAATGTACATATTAAGAAATTAAATGCATAGCTCTTGAAAACATACTAGCATGGAACTATATCGATGTTTAAATAGGTATTTCCAAACACTCTAGCATGAATTGGATCCGAGCTTGGGATGTCCATAGCACGAACCGATGTTTATTTCACTAGACTAAGTGCACGCCGTGCATAAATAAGTGTACTTTTTCGATTCATATTCATATTTTCTACAGAAACTCTCAAGTAATTTATACATCGCCTTAGCGCCTTGCTTTTAGGCACCGTTGGCTCCTTCTGAACAAACTTTCAAGAGTTGCTAAAACTCCATTGACCTAATACTTCATTATTGAACGGTACTGCATCGAGATTTTTCTGTACTTAACTTAAGTCAGCAAGCCAGAATTAGGACGTCGTTTTGTTGAAAAAGATTAGATTTGATTTGGTAATGCTGTTAAAATTTATGTGAGCTAAAGATTCTGGAGGGAGTTTCTTACATTTTAGCAGTGGCATATATGCTTCCTATTTCCACATAGGGATATTCTCTTATATTTACATAATTACATACATATATTCGAGAACATATATGTACATATACCCTCATAATAATTTTCATTATCATTGCTGCCTACAAGCATTTAACGAACCGACTATACATTTGGCTTGTATGAACATGTGTACATATATATGTATTTGTTATAGTATGAATAAAAATGTAGTCCACCTCATAATATAACAATTAATACCCACTAATTAGAAGTAATGCTAATATATCGCCCACACTTAATACAAACATATATAGATGAGTGTTTATTTATTTTCGTATCTGACAAAGTTATATATCATAAATTGATCAAAAGACTAAAACATATTTTTGTAAATAACTTTATTATAACTTGAATATAAATGGTAGCCATAACAAAATACATGCATTTATATTCATAAACGTCTATATATATGCAAGTTATAATTTATAAGGAATGATAAGTTGGTTGGCTCTTCTCTAAAAGAGCATATAAGCAAATGATTTATGGAGGTATATATGTATGGTTAGTTTTCCGCAATTTCCGCCATATACACCATTAACTGTCGCAATCCATATTTATATTCCGGTAAAGGTTTTACTTAGTTTTTTCCTTCCTTTTAAATATGTGCATATTTTAGGTATGAGCAAATTCTCATTGCAAAATGTATACACATACTTTTTATATATATATACATGCGTATATAACATATATATGTATATATATATATATATATATGTATATGATTCACCTAAATCTTGTTGCACAGTTATAAAATATTGTTAGCAGTCGAATATTCGTAGATTTAGAAACAGCTTACTGCATTAAAATAACAACGCCAGTACATGCGTCCACCATTACCGATCCCATTGCGTCCAACGCTACCACCTACACCACCAGAATCATTATCTGTTGCCGCAGCTGCTGTGAGCATCGCTGCATCTTTAACATCGCCAAGATTGCCACCCAAATCGACGCCGATGTTTCCTCTTCTCTGAAAGCTCTTTGCCATTAACTGAAAATTTCTCACACACATGCCCAAATCTCAATGCAATTATGCTTTAATTATCCAACTTACAGTTTCACCGGTGGCCCGATTAATGGAATTTAAGTCTTTAAAATCGTAGTCTGTTAAAATTGAGGGATCATCATCGCTATACATATGGTTTGCGCTGGAATCGTCCGTGTTTAGAACAGTATTCTCATTTTTTATATTGGGATATTTATCACTGCTTTCGGCATAAAAATCACTTATTTTGCGGCGCTCCTGTTCAAGCGCGTGGTGAAGAGCAACCATAAGTCGATCAAGCAAAAGAGCAGCGCGTTTCGGCACAACCATCTAGAAAGTAATTATCAAATGTTAGTATCTAAGCCAATCTACATTGTGTGCAACCAGTTTTATTTATTATATTCCTCAATTCTAAAAATGGAAATAAGTTAGAAAACATTGCTATAAATAAGAAGTATACGTGTAGATTGGTACAGGATAATCACAAAACACCATAATCTTGTGTAGCTATCTTCTGCAATCTAATAAAAAAATTAATTTCGACTTGCTCAATAAATCCAAGGGCTTTAATAATTTTGAAAGCGTATGTGTCAATTCTTTCCTTTATAATCAAAAAAAAGTATGGCTCAGACTTACCGGATATTCATCATAATTTGCTTCGCTATGGACATCAAAACTGAATATTTCTTCAGGCTGTCCGCCTTCAATGCGACGCTTTTTGGTTATAATCTGCCTGCCGCCCACTTCGCTGTTGTTACTGCCGTCGACACTTCTTTTTGCCGTAGTAGTAATGCTGTTGTCTTTTCCTGTTTTTGCTGCATAAAGTGCATCATCATAATTTTGAGATGTTACCTGGTTAGCTGATATGTGAAAACACACATACAGGTCAGCATGTTGCAACAAAATGAAAGCAATTAAAACCACAGCCATTTTTTGCTGTTGTTTTTGGATAATAACATGAACATCTGTATACTGACGTTTACGGGAATAGGAAAAGAGTTCAAGGTACTGTTGCTGGTTATTTGGGCTTTTACGTTCCAGGAAATATCCTTTGAATAAGTTATTTTGCATTTCCGATATTAATCGTGAAACGAATTTTAGGAACTGATTAATTGAACTCGACAAATTTGCTAATTTGATAATAAATATCTTTATAAAACACCAATCGATTAACTGCAAATATACTTCAGTTATTCCTCACATTCGTATGTACAGGAAATTCAATATTCATTTGTGATCTAAGAAGAATTATCTTTGAATTTTTGAAATAAGTGATCAAAAATATTATGCTCACATTTGCTTGAATGGTAAAATCTTGTTGAACTGGTTTCCTTGCGACTTTCTACATGTCCTTTTATAGTCATGATTCTTTCCTTCGGTGATTCATACATTTTTTATTCTTATGTCCATTAAAGCATGATTTTTTCCACCGACATTACCTTAATTCATTGCCATAGTCAACAAAGAAATGCTTTTTAAAATCATATGCTTCCTTTTTTTCTTTTTTTTTTTTTTGTTGCTATATTCATCATTTACGAATGCCAAATTGTTTCTGGAGTTGGTGTAATTAATATTGGCTCCTACGTCGTATGCGCATAAACTTGCATGTATACGCGCTTTGGCTCTTGTCGAAATATAATAACATGAGTTTAACAACAACACCGCAATCATGTTACAACATACTATGAGCGCCTTAAGCATTTCATTGAAAGTAGTAATATAGGTATTTCATTTGTTAACGAGCGGGAGAATTTCCAGTAAGGACAATCAGTGCCTTTAAAAACTCTCATAGTATTCGTTCGTTGCAATAGACGTGACCGTCAATTTCTTTTTCAATATGTCCGCAGTTTAAATTGAAACTCACACGTACGTTATTTTCATCAATAATCTGTTGAGAGTAGTTGACATGATTAATTTTATTTTAGGTTTAAACTGGTTGAACTTAAAAACCATGAACCTCTTTAAAATCAATAAATGTTAACGGTAATAAAAGCACACATACACATATGTTATGTATTTTTTATTGATATTTATTTTGCTAATAATTGTCATAAATAATTGCAGAAGGATAAAACGTCATCTAGGCATTTTGGGCATGAGATTAGTAAAAAAAAAAAAATAGATAGAATGGGTGAAAGTTTTTAGGGAGCCAGATGATATAAAAAAATAAAAGGATAAGGTATAAAAAGAAATACAAATTTTAACAGCACAGAATTCGTCGAAAAGTTATGAAGAGCTTTTCACAGTTTTTTTTTTGCAATTATTTCCTAAAATAAATAAAACATCTCGGTTATGGTAAACGCAAAAACTTAAAACGATTAGAATCAAAGTGAAAATTAATATCCCTGTAAATACATACAGAGCTACAAATAAAATAATTTGTTTCCCAAACTCATGGGCATTTTTACAAGTTGAGGATGTTTGTTTTGCACATACATAAGTAAATGTAAGAGTATTCTATTCTTTTGAACTTTTTGTGCTCTCACTCCCCATAAATCTAAAACCATTTAGCTTTACCTGTATGTATGTAGATTCAATCTGAGATTTGATTCAGGAACGCCAGACATTTTTTTCGGTTGAGGAGAAGAAAAATGCCTTCCGCATCATCATTGTGTCGTCATAACAGGATTAAATAGATAGTAAATAAATGTAGTTTCAAAAAATAGAAAAACACATTTTTACGAGCGTGTTTTTGCGCTGTTACACATATGTCTTTGTGAACTCATTCAATTATAGAATGGAAATATTCCGTGCAATAGACGAAAACTTAAAGTTTGGGCATAATACCTTAGATTGCCGGGCTCGATTTTTTGAATTGTTATTACATTTAGGACAGAAAAAAAGCAGTCATGCAAGACGAGTTGTGATTAGACGATTTTGCTTACACGAAAACACTGCTCGTTGATTTTTTATTCTGAAATAAATGATTTACTATCATTTTTGTTTGATTATCCTGCAAGTTCAAAATCAACAGTTTAATAATGTAATATATTTAATGACAAACACGCGTTGTTCCGTAAAAATGAAATACTTTTAACAAACGTGCAGTAGAAAACCGGATAGACTAGCTTAGGATATATAAAAGTTTATGGCTTTTAAACATGAAAAATGGATGAAATAGAAACTTAAATGAAATTTCAAAACCATGTGTTATTTTTATAATTTTGAAATATATAATAATATTGAAAGGTTTGTTCTATATTATCCTTAAAGATTAGAAAACAGTTACTTTATTTTCATGAACCTATCTTTTGTTATTATAAACCGCTTTATGATTTTAAGATGCTTACCATACATGATTTAAACGAACAAAGTGCATGAATTTGTTTTAAAGGCGATTTACAGCATCCCTGTACGTTTGTTTGAGCATGCGCTTATGGGAAGTAGGAAAGTATGCTTGTATATATACATATGTTTTAGTTTAGTAGAAATGTCATATCGGTCTTACAGTTATAGAAGAACCGATGAAAATCAAGCTTTATTTAGCAGTAAATTATAGTAGCAACTTAAATAAGGATTATCCATAAAGTCAATGCATTGAACGAAATCTGCAATGCAATCATCCTATCACAACAAAGATAAACGCATATATGGCGATGTGAGCTACGAGTAAGAGTTTTATTTATTCAAGTTTCCTCGAAAATATAGAGGGTTGCGGGCTTACTTTTTTTAGACGGAAAATATTTTCGCTGCTGACTCAAGTTTGTCTTAATTGAATTTAAATGTGGAATGATTTTTTCCTGTAGTTTTATAAAAACTTATATATTTAATCTGCTCTACGAAATGACTAATTCGTTCTAGTACATAAGTGCTATAATGTGTCTTTTGTACCTGTACATCCGTATATCCCCAAACACACGTGTGTGTTCGTGAGTTAAAGGGTGCTTACAGCGCACTTCAAGTACTTTAGCTTTATTTATTTCAAAACAACAAAATAGAAATATAAACTATTATGTAGTTTCCTTAAATTAAAATTAATGCTTATTTCACCCAATTTTGAAATATTTGTCATCATATTATGCTTAAATCCCTAAAAGCGAACCGATCAGCAATACGGAGGCAGATTGGAGTAAACAAAAGGACTCTCCATTTGTAGGAAAAATAAAAGCGCACTTCAAAAAGTGGAGTTCGACCGAAAGAGATTTTCGCTTACGAAGCGTCAAATATATAAGTACATGTGTATAATGCAAGTTTTTGTTTGGTTGTATGATGTTTATATGTTAGAACTGTTGCTGTAAAGTACAATAATAACTTAATAATATTTGTTGCAGACGAAAATATCTTTTGGACCCGAAATATTTGACAAAGCGAGATATTCAACACTATTACCGGAATTATCATGTCTCAAAGAGCCAACGTCATTATAAGAAAATAATATTTATCATTTTAACTATATGCCTTATCGCGTACCTATTTGTTGATTACAATCTCCGAACAAAAATTATCCAGTTTCGTGATCGTTTCGAATTCCTGGCACGCGTTGATGGCAATTATAACATTACACAGGCATATTTTGTTAATACACCAGGTTGTCATATCCCCTACTTTGACGTATCCAACTATCACATAATGCAGTATATAGGTTCACCTCCAAAACTAAAGTGTAAAAAGTCGATTACACGAGCAAGCGACCTCGGTTCCCGTTTGTGGTGGACCATGACAGATAAAGAGATACAGCATTATTATAAAGTAAACGACACCAATAAAATCAACTGCCACTATACTCCTCTGCAACACAATTACACATTATCAGTTAATACTTTCGGTACCGAAATTTCATTCAAATTACTTTTTAATCAATCGATCGAAATCATACCAGAAACGGAGTTTATACGAGTCCGGTGTTCCGATGGACAAAAGCAATACTTTTATGAAGATTATCATTTTTTCGCTTTGAATAAAACAAACTCTAAAATTATTTTACAAGAGAAGTCTAAGGATAATGTTCGGAGAAAAGAGTTAAGGAATGCAAGAGGAAGGCACGCAATCAAAGACAATTCATATATGAAAAACAAAACGAATATGCCTGGGCAACAGCTCTCTATAATGATTCTTGGCATTGATAGTGTATCACACTTAAACTTCTTGCGACATATGAAGCGCACTGCCGATTTCATTAGAAAGCATCTTAACTACGTTGAATTTTGGGGCTTTAATAAAGTTGGGGATAATACCTATCCCAACCTGATTCCCCTCTTAACTGGTCTTGCATCAGACGAGTTGAAATTATCTTGTATGCGGGCAAAGGGAATGAACTACATTGATGGTTGCCCTTTTATATGGAAACGCTTTAAAGAAGCTGGGTATATAACTGCATTTCTGGAAGATGTAGCAGAGTCTAGCATTTTCGGAGTTAATCCAATATTTAAATATCAACCAACTGACTATTATATACGACCAATAACTTTGGAAATGGAGAAAAAAATTCAATATTATTACTCAGTAAATGTTAATTTATGTATGGGAGGGCGTCGTACAGTTGATCTTGTACTTGAAATGGTTCATAAACTGATGCCTTTTTTGCAAACCGAAAACTTCTTTTCATTATTTTGGTTATTATCTATGACTCAAGACTTAATATATATGCCAAAGTTATTAGACAATGATTTTGTTGATTTATTTGAAAGGTTTCAAACATCTGGAATTTTTAATAAGACAGTAGTTCTACTTATGAGCGATCACGGCTTACGCTGGGGTTCATTTCGTGGAACATACCAGGGTATGATGGAAGAACGCCAACCACTCCTAGTAGCCATATATCCAACATGGTTCAAACAAAAATATGCAAAAGCCGTTTATAATCTGGAAAACAATGCAAAAAGGTTAACAACATTCTATGATGTGTATGCAACATTGTTAGATCTTCTTAATTTAGATAATTTACGACCTTCTACTCTACAAGCCCGTTCTAAAGAGATTCTAGAGTCTGACGTCATTCCCAGAGGTATAAGTCTTTTTCTTTCCGTACCAGAAACACGGACCTGTGAAAACGCCGGCATTGCGAAACAGTGGTGTACATGTTATCAACGAACTGAAATGCCAACGAATGATGGTCAAGTACAGGAAGCAGCACGTTACACGGTCAAATTAATTAACGAACAATTGAAATCATACCCACAATGTAGAGTATTATATTTAAACTCTATATTGGAGGCCGTTATGCTGACGCCACATAACACCATTATTAGAGATGTAAACAATGATTATGGAGTCGATATTAGTTTGCGTCTGCAAACTAAGCCTGGACTAGCCGTGTTCGAGTCAACGGTTCGCATAGCAGGCTCCAAAAAAAAACTTGCTAGTACAATTAGTCGTCTTAATTTATATGAGAGTCAAAGCTATTGTATTAAGAAGAGTGAGCTTAAAATGTATTGCTATTGTCACAGATAAAAGTAAAGTATAGGCAAGCTTTTTATTAAATATTTCAAAAATGGACAGAAGTCTTTTGAATATTTTGAAAAAGATGCAGGTAACAATGGTATCGACATGCAATGCAATCGATTTCTTCTCCGTAATTTTCAATCATTCAGAGGTTAAGCCACTCCGCACTCTACGGAGTATGTGGGTGTGCACAAAGCAAACACAATGAAATTTTCTTTAACTTTATACACAATGTACATAAGTTATAATAATAAAAGTGAAATGAATAAAATTAAATGTGGATTCTAAAAAGGGTATGAAAATATATTTCAAGGTAGAGAAAAACTTCGGATGAACTTTACGTATGTATCTAACTTTGATTGCATACTGTATCTAAACGTGTATACCAACTTAATTGAGTTACAATAGATAATGATCTGAACTTTTCCTTAACCTTTCCGTTATTAAGTTTTGTTCTTTTTTTCTCTACAATGGTCAAAACAAAATTACATTTTTTCACACTTTTACTATTTACATGATTTTCTCCCACTGTTCGCTCTATAAATGTATTTTATTAAATAAATTTAATATAAATAGGAAGCTTCGTGCGAGGGTTATTTTTTTAAAGTACGGGCGAACGCCGCCAGTACACAAAGCTGTTTGACTCAAAGATTCTGACGTTTAACGCCATATTTTATATAAAAACTTTAAATATATTGCTGTGATAAGTAATATTTTCCTTTAAAATTATTTTCGGATTGTATTTCGGACATCTGCCGTTCGGATGCAGGTTAGGTTAACAAATATTACATTTTTTGGCATTCAAATTATGCATAATTTCGTGTCAATTTTTTTGCTGCAGCCCAAACAACCAATAGCTATGTACATATCTTTAATTTATAATATTATACTATTATGTTAAATTTATTAAACATATTATTAAACTTCACAACGGTGGACAATATTAGTCCTATTCGGTGAGTTGATGGGCCATGGTAACCATTTGTAACAACAATTGTTACTTTAATAAAAAGAAGTGATCAAATATGATAATATTAAAAGTAATTAAATGATATAAACGTTACAATTAAATGGTAAAGGTATACATTACCACATTTTAGCAGTGGAGTGGATTCATCGGCACCACACTCATATTCTGTAAAGAGGAATTAGAAGTAAGGAAGGCTGGGGGCGTAAATTGGAACAAATGTTTTGTTTTGTAAAATACAAGCCTTTAATTGCTGGAACACAGTTACAATGACGATGATGCATTCTTGTGCTTCGGAAAGCGACAACGATGCACGGATTCAAAAAGAAAGCAAACAATTTTGTTATGTTCAGTTAACATTGCCGGATAACACGAAGAGAGGTTTCCAAACTTATTACAATCTCTGCTCTCGGCGTAAATTTTAGTAGCCTTTTCCTCACCGAACGCCGTTTTGTACAAATTGGTAACCATTTTTACCCAGCAACTGACCGAACAGGACTATAATGATCAAAAGGAATACAGCAAAACTGAAGTAATCCTAGACAGATGGTAATAAGCTCATCGCTATAAGGGCAAAGTGGCTGTAGGTCAGGCCAGTACCATTTTCTTAATTTTTTTAGGTGCGGTCGAAGTATACTTATGCGTTTAATGTCATAGTCTATGCTAGACCGATCTGGGCGCCGGGACTAGCAACCGAAGTTGAAGAAGGAAATCTTCTGATATCGCTAGAGTATCATTTGCACAGCATCTTTGCTACGAGTTATGGAGCATAATGCTTTGCTGAGCAAGAAATTTCAAATGGCATTTGTTACAAGCCAAACCCTCACCCAGGCACACCAGAAAGGGAATACTTGATCTAAAGGACTGCATTCAGCACCACTTGCAATAACCGCTAGACTGGACGGCGTATTGACGGGCATTAAACGTCATACATCAAGAGTTCGTTAACCTTTTCATGAACTCTCTTCTTCAAATCACCACCTATTGCATTCGAAAAGCTCGAGCTGCTCGATGACTTAAGACTGATACAGCCCGCTATTAAGCGGGGTTTGTAAAAGGCTGCAACAACAACAGCCTAAACAAATAGCTATTCATTATAAAGATGCACATTAAGATCTAAAGATTACCTAAAATCTCAGTGTCTGTCTTAGCACCGTTTCCTGCAAAAGATATATCTTTTCATTTTAACGAACAATCACCGCATTCGTGTTCTGGCTGCCACTTTACTGTCAATAATCATAACTGTTTAAATCAATGAGTTGTCTTTCCTGTTCTATACATCTATAATACACTTCAAAATACATGCATACGTACCACACATACAGTGATGAACTAAAGAATTGGCACAGCAAGATAGTTCAATTTTAACACCTTTTTTGACCACTTACCAAAATATTTTTATTTCCGAAAAAAAATACTAGACTGAGGGCCACATTTTCAACTATTTTCACATTAATTCATTTTATTAACTTTTATGTTAAATTAATACTATATTAAAAAAATGTACTAATTTTCAAACGAAATTAATATTAGCATTTTGTAGCCAAGCCTTTATGTTTGATGACAGCGTCCAAGCGCTTTGCATTGATGAGATCAATTTTTGTGTAATTTCTGCCTCAATATTCTGTCATCCCCTCACCAGTGCCAGCTTCAACTCTTCTTTTGTTAATGCAGGGCGATTGGGGCGGATGCGGCAGTGTATGTTTAATGTGGTGAGCAAGCCACATACGGACATCATGAACGGTGTGCTTCGGATAATTGTCGTGCTGAAATCTAAATGACTGGCAATTTAAGTTTTTCGGCACTTTTCTTGACATTCTTCTTAAGAATTTCCATATGGTATTTTTTGTCCATAATGTCGTCAATGAATTCCAGCAACTCTATATAATGACTCCTCCACCACCATGTTTTATAGTTGCAGAAAAGTTCTTTTTGGGAATTCAGTGTTAGGTTTTCTCCACACAGTTTGGAGGCCATCAGTTTGAAAGATATTGAATTTACTTTCATCCTAGAAGAGTGCAACGTTCCTTTTGGTTCACTTTTGAAATTAGGGGCTTGCGTCTAGCTACACGGAAATGAAAGTTAGCTTCATGCAATGCACTCCGGACCATTATCGGATGAATATCATTTCCCAACTTGTATTTAATTTCCGCTGCGATTTGCGAGATAATATTGGGTTTCTTTTTACCTTTCTTACCATTTGACAGCGTTCGCGGTCATTTAAAGCCTTAGGCCTGCCTGTACGTGTAGCGATTTGTTAATATAAAACTCCCCCAAATCGTTTCACAATGCTTCTGATGGTGTCGCGGCTTCTATCCATCATTTCACCAATTTCTGCATATGATTTGTTATGTTTATGCGAATATAAAATTATTTTCCGCTGAGATACTTTAGTTTCACTTTTTTTGCGGTTTGATTTTTGATTTTTGCTTATGTAGCCAAAGATCAATCAAATTTAAACGAAATAGCCCAGTGAAATCTAAAATGTGCCAATAATTTTGTTTGGTGAAGATTATTACTTCTTTCAAGTATAATTAGTATTAATTAAACATAAAAGATTAATCAAATGAATTGAAGTGAAAATAGTTGAAAGTTTGTCCCTCTGTATAGCATTTTTTCGGAATTAAAAATGTTTTCACAAGTGGTCAAAAAAAGTGTTAAAGTTTAACTATCTTTCTGTGCCAATACTTCAGTTCGTCACTGTATGTACATACAAAATTTCATTAAAGGAAAACCCCTTTTTTTGCGTTAGTTTGTTATTATAATTCGGATGTGTGACGAAAGCAAAGCAAAATTTTATAACTACTTAACGATACCTTTCCTTTGCAAATGAGTTAACAGGTTAACTATTTTCTCCTAAACGATAATACTCCAAAAAATAGAAGCTCAAAAAACTTTTATAATCTATGTACATTTATTCATTAAATAATTTTTATTTTACATGTAATCCGTTGTTCAAAGAACCTCCTCAACCCTAAGTAAATCCAGGTAAATATACCCTTATATCCGTTTAGGCAATTAATTTAATTTGCTTAATATTAAATATATTCAAATTATTGTAGTGCTTCAAAGAAGATAAGAAAGTATTATTATTTTTCTTTCTTTTAAATACAATATTCGAGGAAGGAATTGTTATTATGTTTGATGTTTCTAAATATCTTTCGATTAAATAAAATATGTTGCCAGCATATAAATTTTAATAGTATATTTCTGTAAAGAAAAGAAGCCAACAAAAAATACAAATATCTCTTTTCCAGCACTTATTCCCATCATGTTAAATTTAAATTTAAATTTGAAATCTAATTATAAAGAATAACAAAAATTTTAAAAATATAAAATACAAAAGCTCTTATACTTATTTCTTATATTTAAGTTACATGAATATTTAAAAAAATACGACTCTTTTGAAAGGTGTTTTTTACGGATTAGGGAAAAATTTAGTGATATTGTGTCGATTTGTCTGTTACAATATATTTGAACAGCCGCGAATAGTACATCTACTGTCAATTATACCAGTCTTTAAGTTGTTGGCGCCAGTTGAGCACTTGTAGAGGGCAATCTGAATGTGACTATTAGATTAAATATATTAAAGTTGGTCCATGTATGTCTGTACGGCTTTCATCAACATACGAACGTTAGTGCACTGCGGATTCTTTGAATGGTTTACCAAAAATATTTGACAATTTCGGAATAATTCCTGTAGTACTTTAGGTGCATGCTCGCGCGTAATAGAATCCATTGGATTAATGGCGAGCAAAGCATCTGCTAAATAACTGTTGGAAATAAAATTATAATCGTTATTCTCAGCTTTAACATAAATCTATTGTACCCACTTTTGCTTCAATTCATTATGATTACTCATGTCTGCTGAAATTTGTTGAATCAGCGATAATAGAACCTTTTGTTCCAAGCAACAATCAGGAGTAAAGATTGATGTGTGGTCGGCATTTTTAAGAGTAAACTCCACTAAATTCAAATCATTAGCCAGCAAAGCTTGATGAAATGCTTTATTGAATTGTCCTTGTTGCAACAATATTTTTATAGTGTCCTTGGTGTCATACATCGGAGCTGGTGTGTTAGTTTGAGAACGTAGCACGGATGTTTGATTCTCTAAACCTCTCTTTATCTTTAAATATATTAATAAATATAAAATAATATAAATATAAATATATAAATAATATAATATATATATACACATTTATAACACATATTCCAATTATTATTAAAACCAAATTTTTTACCTCAGAACGAACTGTTTCTTGCATTTGTCGCGACAAAACAATTTCTAAGCTCTTTACGTCTTTTCGAGTTTCGAGCATTGTTTCTATAACAGAACTACGATGCTTAAGCAGTATAGATTCAATATGTTGTCGAAAGCCAGACAACTTACTAAGCACCTCTTCCGTGGAATCTTGCATAGGTTGCAAATGTTGCACATAATTATCAAATTGTTCAATAACTGTGAGAAAATTTAAAATCATTTCACATAGGACAATGCTATATTTGATACGTACATTCCTTTATTCCAACAGAAAATGCTTCATGCAATTGTTGGAACATACATTGAGATGATTTTTCATATGCTGGGATCAATGTGTTTGACATAGATTCAATAAATACTGCTTGAAGACTACCCTGAACTCCCACCAAAACGGATTTACCAAAAGTGTCAATTATTGTCTGCAAAAAAATTAATATAACACTATGGCATTTCATTAAAGTATACTTATATCTTACATACCTTGCTCTTACAGACTTTTGATATATTTTCGTTAATCATCAAGTCAAATGCTGATAATTTCTGCCCGATATCTATCTGTATTTGTTGTTGCAAATGATCTAGTTTTGCAGACAACATTGGTGCCAACTGCCGCTGTATTTCAATATTAATGACTTTTGATACGACTTCTCCAAGTTGAGTTAGAACGTATTGATTCATTATCTGGATAAAACTATCACGTAACTCTCTGTTTTGTTGGTCTCTGCCGAAGAAAGTTATGTTTCTTGAGTAATAATTCCATCATTTATTTAAAGTTTTTACAAACCTTCCAGCCATAAAGGCCGCCAGTTTTTTTTTATGCTCATTTTCGTAACGCTTTAAATATTGCTCCATCAATTTTGATAGCTGCATCTCAAGTTTGAATGAAAATTCAGACATACTCTTTGTTGATGCCAATGGATTTGTCTTTTTCATACTTGCCACTTCTTCTTGTAGGTTATTAATTTGTATTGACTGCATTTTAACTAACTCTATTTACAAAAACAGAACAATTTATTAAAAACTAAAGGAACACCATGATGGTCATATTATAATATCATAGCTATAAACAAGTTTTTCGATGTTCGATGGTTTGCGCGGTTTAAACAGCGGAACAACTCTATCCTGTTTCCACATATCGGGTTTTATTAAATTCAGAACTTTGTTGCCGCTGGACCCAGGTATTTTAGCATCTGCGTGGTTATTTGGTACAGACCGTCGCGCAGGCGGCGAGATATATATAATTGGTGCTTTTGATCTCAAGTCTTTCGAATGGCAGTATGCAATGCTAACCAATCGGCTACCGCGGCCGCCACGGGATAACGGTCGCTTAATTTTGTCAACCGAAAGATACAGTATGAAAAGCGGCTAAAATAGCTCGTGCTCCTCTTGAATACACCTAAATTGGAGCGTTCGCCGTTGCGTTTCTTATCGCTAATGAGTAGCAATGCGCGCTATCCCTAAATAAGAGAGCTAAGGTTTTGGCGTTTTCTCTTTATCTTCAAGATCGCATCATTTTAAGAGTATTTAATAAATTAATTGCATTTATTTCAAACAAGATACTACAAACTCAATCGGTCGGCCAAAAACTGCCTCCACCAGTTGGATTAATTTTTTAGTGAATATTTTTAATTTTATTTGCAAAATACAATTTATTTGTCAAATTTTTCTCCCATTTGCCAATTCCTCTTCGTTAGTATTTTCCCTTTTTTTGACACTTTCATCCTTTACATCTAAATTCATCATATAACGCGTTGGGATTGAGAGAGTAAGATGTCTTACTCTGCCGAAGAAAGAAATTTACTGAGTTTTAAACGAACAAGATTCAGTAAAAAGTAGCCAGCAAGTTGTATAACAGCTGTTCATTTGTATACTTTTTTCCTGTTTGGAAGTATTTTCCTAACTGTTCTAATAAAATAGCCATTTATATCAAGGTTTATAGAATAGATGGTTACGACAATTTGGAAACATATGTTTAATGCCGAAGTTGGTTCAATTTGTGGGTTGTCAAATATTAAACAAAAAATTGCAGAATTTTATCTATGAAACAGCGTAACATTTTGGCTTTAAACGCCTAAAGGCCGTGTAAGACGGCCATGTTAACGCAAGATTGTTATAAATATGAATTTATTCGATTCTGTATAAATATAAATGCTAAATGCTACTAATATTTCATTTTGGCCACCGTCGTCACTTCCGGAAGCTTAAGTCCGTCCATGTATTATCGTCACTATGACCGTTGCAACAACCTTGCTTTGCAATGTCTTGCCACTCATTTGGTCGCCATCCAAAATCAAAAATTCTAATTCCAATATTAGTTCTTTACCTTCCTAACTTTGAATTTCTCTATACAAACTGGGTGGCGTTGCTGGAATCAATGGTAATATTGAGTTAAATTAAACCACTTTACATTTTACCACTTATTTGTTGGCATATCATTCATATTAAAGTCTTAATATTATATTAATTTTAAATCAATGCTTTGATCACAAACCAGCTGCTTTTCATACTGCTACTTTTTACTTGGTCAAATTTTCCCAGCACGAATTTGCAACTTTCTCTCTAACTAAACGTCGAAATCGCGCTCTCCCGTTAACAATTTTTACTGAGCTTTTGGCTGAACGAACACGATCCAGTGAAGTTTGGTAAACATTCTTACTGTCCATCTGATCGAACAAACAAAACTAAAATTGAAAATTCCATTTGCTCAACGTTGACGCCGCGTTATTGTGGGATGTCCCATACAAATTGCATGGCCATGAGAATTTTTGACAGTTTTTTAGCGCTCAACGCTCCAATTTTGGGATAGTAGTAAGCAAAATACCTTGTTTATCTTTCTCTTCTAAGTTTATATAATTTGAAGGAAAGGCCGGTCTATTATCTGTTTTACTTTATGTTCTTATTTTATGTGTAGTGCCATTTCGGTATAAATAATAAAAACAAACCCAAGATGTGCGGTCAAATATTATATGAGTATGTAAATACTTTTAGAAACTATAGAAGCGTGGAATGTATATACTGATCCCCAGTCCTCCTAGGCTGTTCATTTTTCTTTTTTGAAGACAATCTATTTGCACAAAGCAGGTTGACTAGGACGAATACCATAATAGCCGAGTGTTTTATTTTCACAATTCTCAACATTCTCACGTTTGAAAATAGATATCAAATGAAATTCATGTAAACAAAACATAAACCAATAAATGATTTGAATTAAAAAAGTTAAATTCGTTGCCATAGTAAGTTCACTGCGATAAATGAATCGAACGGAGTTTGTGGATTTTCGCAAACCTATGAATTTGCATTGATTTTAATAACCACAACGCCAATCACATGATAATTTTTGTATTCGTTATTCTGCTATCACCTTTAAGAATACTCCTTGATCGGTGCTGTTATAAAATAAGGCCAGAAATAGAGTCAATAAAAACATACCAATTAATTGGTCCATCTTTCCATTTAACTCTGTAAGATCTGTGCTGCTTTCAATTCCTGTACTTTCCAGATTACCATTACTGTTACTGTTTGTACTAATAATAGTTGGCGCCACTAAGCTATTATTTAAGTTATTTGCTGAAGTAACATTTATTACTTGTGACATCAAATGTGCTGCATTCTTCAACTCAGCTGAGTGTTTGGATGAGCATTTTTGCATATCAGTCATCTTGGACCAGTTTGATATACTGGTTGTGGAATGGCATTTAGGAATTTCTGTTTCTATAATCAATTAATTATTAAATTTGTTGATATTCAAATACTAGTAAACTTTTAACCTATTTCTTCCGTTTGCGCTGTTATTCCTTGATTATCTGGTTTCGCTTTAGTAGTACTGGAAGTATCATCAAGTAAGTCGTCATCCCCACTTTCATTATCTTGTAAAGACATAATTTCTTGAACTTCACGGCTAGGACTAGATCCACCACTAGCTACATTATCTGTTGTACAATCGGAATTAGTTTTAATTACTATGGATTTTGGATACGAAATTTTAAAAATAACCTTTTCACGTACCTTTGAGTTTCTTCTTGGAAGTCAAAGAATGTTTGTGCTGCAATTTTTGATGTTCCTGATCCTCAATCATTTTATTATTTACCAAATTTAGAATATTTATACTTTCTGTTCTTGGTGCAGGAGGTTGTCCCGCGACACTTGCCAACATTAAAATAGTATTTAAAACTTCTGAGCTCACACAATCTGGTGCATTTTTATCTACAATTGAGTAGAGTACATACGTTTTCTTAAAAATGTTTGCTCGGACAAATTAATTTAGAGCATTAATAAAGGGATATTTAAATCAAATAATCAATGCTTGAAATATCTTACCACCTGAAGTAGAATTAAATGCATCCGGTGTCATGAGGTTGACTTGACTGAAGTTTTTATTGCTTGTTTGGGGAGAAGGGGTGCAAGAACGAACATCATTTAATTCATTGGTCGATGGAGTGGGCAGAGCAGAAGCAGCAGCTGCTACAGCGACAATTGAAGAAGTAGCAGTATTGTGTACAGATATTTGATTAGTCAAACTAACGGGTGAAACTGAACTAAAACCCAGTATAGATTCCAGCGCACTTGCTTCCTTGCTGCTTTCTTCTTCTCCACCTTTTTCATCTACTATTTCTGATTTAACGTGTGTATGAATTAACTTATTCGAATTCAAATTGTTTGTTATTTCAGTAGCACCAGCTTTGATACCTCTATTATTAATGCAACTAGCTACATTGTCCAATAGAGATAAATTTGGGGAAACTCTTACTACCTCGCTTTCTTCGGATAGGGTGCTTCGAACTTCTGCATTTTCAGAAACAGATGGCTGATATAGTATACGACACTCTTGCATGCTCTTAGATTGCACAATAAACATTCTCACTACCACACAGTATGTGGAATTAGTTTCTTCATCGTAGTCATCAAACTCCTCACACAGATAATTATCATTCCCACATTTATATCGCCGCACTGCTGCATCGACAATTGAAAATGATAAGATCCCAGAGCTCAATGGAAACTCTGAAATGCTTTTAATGTAAACAAGTGGGCGTAAGCTTTTCGAAAAGCACTTTGTACTGCCGATACTACTATTGCTACTAGTACTGTTATTAGCAAAATTGTTGTTACTCTCGTTATCAGAACATTTAGTTAGTGATACCACATTACTATTATTTACAATTTGCATAATATAGCAGATCCGTGTATCTAAACTTGATATAACCAAATATGATGATGTTCTATCAATTTCTGCAATAAAACGAGGTACTTTCTTTTCTTCCGACGCTGTGGTAATGCTGATTGATTGCAAACATTCCCATGTACTGCAATCCCACACTTTGAACTCAGTATTATTTTCGGCTCCAGTGATAGCATATTTCCAATAAGTTCTGAAAGTAGTTAGATGCGATAGTCGATATGTATGTATATATGTAATGTATTTAAAGCTTATAACAATATGATAACCTTTTTAAATTTAAGGGCTCGTCAAATTGTGTATGAGGAACCGATACAGGAATTTTTTTGTAATAAAGACATTTTGTTAAATTTTTTTAAATCGCAAAGAAATTTCATAATTACATTCTTATATGAAACTCAAATCTTTTGCGTAATTCAAAAATTTTAAAAAATTATAATTGTAATTTAAAAATTTACACAGTCAAAGCTATAATCCTTTTTTAAACGATCGCACTTATTTATAACATTTTTTTCACAATCCACTCCTAAGTGAAGAGGTCACTTAAACACAAATTAACAGATTTCAAACAAACTTTATCAGTATAGTGATCATGATCGATTGACTTTTTGTAATCTGGTAGGAGACGTCTGAGCTAAGGAATTTGAAGACCTGCTATTATTATTCGATTTCGCTTATACAGATAATGACATTTTTCGTTAGTATATGCACATATAGATCCAGAAAAATAAGGTCAGCACGAAGATATTTTCCTCACGGTGAGGTCTTGGGGTCTTGCGGAATCAACTTACACTCGAATATAATATAGTTGGCATCACTTACTCAGATACATTTTTAGTCAAATTGTCCAAGAAAAAGAAAGATGAAATAGATTTTCCGTTGTGAGGAATCCATTGATGTAAACATCGAGGCTCCTTGTCATGCATATACACCTGATAAAATCGTATGATACCGTCAATGCTGCCCACGCCGAGAGTAGAGCCATCAGGCGAGAGGGCGACCCAACTTACGGTGCATAGTTCGTCAAACACTTTTATATAGCCCGCCGAAATAACATTCGGATGTATGACACCCACCTAGAAAATTGTTATGATTTCTAATGAAAATTTTTATATATAGTAGAAGAAAACATACTCCGTATTCCGCTACTATTGCATTTATGTTGAAACATTGCAGCATTGATCCTCTTGCCCACACAATTAATTGACATTCTTCATCATCTTCACCGGGAGCATCAATAAATGGGCACCATGTTATTTTATCATATTTAGGGGAATAATTTAACAATGGGTCTTCAATTTTAACCACAAGATTACATAATAAATTCCCATCGACTAGTTGTATTTTATGAATGTACAAAGCATTCATATCAATAGATGCGAGTATGTGCTCCGTTTCAATATGCGCAAATTGTAAATCTAAGACTTCCCCAGACATTCCTTTTATTAAAGCTCGTAGTCCCGACTGCGCTTTCACAACACGAACCATACCCTCAACACGTGACACCTTGTTATTAACTAAAAAATTTTGATAAAATTATTTATTTTCCAACATTACAAAAGATAAATTGAATACCATTTATGACGTAGGCAATATGTTTTCCATCCATATGTACAGCTATTAAATGGCCCGGATAATTTTTTACTTCCCACTTATAATCGACAATATTCTTTAATTTCACTTTCGAAGACCCGTGGTCATGAGTGCCCGCACTGCCGATTACATTTACATTTTTTGTTGTGATTTCAAAACAACATTGTTCGTTATCGGCTGTGAAATCGCTATAGGAAAAATTAAACTTCAATTACTGGCCACAAATAATTATTAACATTACATCTTACATGACGTTAGATGAATTGATTGCAGTTCCATTTATAACATCTTCAATTATGTCCTCTGAATGCAAATTATCACTTCCAGCATTCTGTTCTATATATTTCACACTCATTGTGTTACTTCTGGCCTGACTTCTTGAGAATATATGTGAACTGGGATTGCCACGCCCACGAAATCTATGTATACAACTCTTTACAATTGCAGTTATGGTAAGCACCGATATTAACATTTACACATTTATGTGATGAATTTAAGGAACTCCGCCGTCTGTAATTTGTATTTTTTGGAAATAGATAATGAAGATTCTTACTAGATAATAAAAGCGTCAAAACTTTTGAAGATTACCGAAAATTCCATGTAACCACCAATAATGAAAGTATACGCGAAGAAATTGAAAATTTCCAGTTGTTACAGTTGTTTTCTTTTCCGGAGGTAACTTATTTTAATATCTAAAGTACGTTTACTTTATATTACCGTAAAGTTTTGGAAAAATGTTGGTTATCAATAATTGCAAATTTATTTAAAAAGAAATTTTCGCAACGCCGTAAACCGAGTGATTTTATAATGTACGTATATACATATGTATGTATAAATTAATCAGTGATGGCTTTTACCTTAGAACGTAAATTATATACGTTCTCGCTTTTACTCTGTTATTACCAAATACAAGCTAACGCGAATGCACCGATAAACTAGATCACGCAAGACCATGATGTTATATTGGATCGTTAAAAAGATGTCATCAAATTTTTCAGTATGGGTTCTTAATTGTAAAAGAGTTACACAAAGTTTATTTATAACTCACTTTGCTATACTCAACATTTATTTCACATCCCTCACAGTCCACTATTTTCAATAGTGTTATCACGCCTAAAAATCTCGAAAGGAAATATTCCTCATAACGAACATTCGATTCACGCGCTTAGAACGTACTATAGGTAGTAATATTTTTCTTTAATCTGTCATTTTCGTCACATTATAGTACTCGCAGATACAAAGTGTTAATTTATATACATATTGAATTATATATATTATACAGAAGTCAAAAAATTTATTGTTCAAGTTCTTCCTTTCTTTGTTTTCTTTCATATTCCAGCAAATTCAAAAAAAATCATATTAAAATCTCCAAAATTAGTTTAACCAATGCTTAGTATAACATATATTTGTATTTTCAGCTTCTTGATAAAAAAATTAATGAAGGAAAAGAAATCTATGGTGTATTCTCCATGCTGGCAATGTTGGAAATACCATACAATACAAATAAATTTTATGTGCCATCAGCTTAAAGGTTTTTGTTTGACACTAATGCAAAGAACGTATTTTATTCTCTGATTTCGTGGTCGTGTGAAAGAAACGAATGCAAGGATTTTAAGCACAACTTGCATTGAGAAACAGAATTAATTCCCTACCCCACACAAATTTTTTCATTCATATAATATTTAGAAAAATATTATTTGTTTCTGAGAGTTTTGCAAATGATAAAATAAATTAAAGTCTCTAAAAGTTGTGGAATAGTAGGGATACGCAAAATAAAAGTGTTCCCCCAAAAAAAGTATAGATTTGTTTTTCTGAAGTGGGTGGTGACATATTTAATGGACCAAAAGGAGTTGCAAAAATAAGAAAATTAAAGTATTTTTAAAAAAATATTAACTCGCTGTCAGCAACAAGTTTGTTCGCTAATTTTTTGCGATGGAGGTACATCTGAACGAAACAGAATCGCGTTTTTTTGCTGGCTTATTTATATACTGTGACGTGGAAAAAGTGGGTAAAATTCCTATACTAAAAGCCATGGAATTATATCGGTCAGCAAATGTACAAAATGACAAAATTGTTGAGGTAATTCAATTTGGTAACAATTGTATATTATTTACTCTATTTTATCCATAATTTTTCAAGATCACTGTTCTTGCCGGCATACCCTCATCTGCGTTATATATTTCACGGGATCAGTTCTATTCATGTCTCAAACTTATTGCCGCGTATCAATCTGGGATGCCACTAAGACATGAGATTATAACAGCGCCCCTTACTTTACCTCTGCCCCGTATCAGTTTGAAGGATTCGCCTGGTAATTGCGAATCAAATATTTCAAAGATACAGCAGCCTTCGAATGGATCAAATGTGATACCACCTCCTCCAGTTGCTGAACGGAAAAATTCATTGCCTCATAGATCCAATGATTGGTTAGTTGAAGCAGAGGAAAACATCTCCTCTCAAAAAGCGACAATATCTCAACAACATCTTCAGAAGCAGAAGGATGTTTCTATAAGCTCAGATGTACCTAGTACAGACTCAGAAATTGATCAAAATGAGTCAAATGGTGGGGCCAATAGGGTAGTTAACAGTGAAAGTAGTGGGCATGAAGCGGTAAGTAAAATCTACATCTACATCTCAATTTTTGCATATGCAATGATATAAACATATTAATTTTAGAAAACATTTTAATGTGTTTATAAAAATTAAATTAAATTTTATTTTTCCTAAAGTGTACTTAATTTAGAATATTGTCCTATGATATTAAAACATTATTATTATGTATAAAAATGTCTATCGTAATGTAAAAATTGCATACTTATATTTTATGCATGGTAGCTGAGGAATTTGGGCTCACCAGAAGCATGGAGTACTAATAGTGATAGTCCCACGCCAACAAATAGTGTTACAGAACGTCAATGGACAAAAGAAACATTATGGCATGGTATGTTGGGCGATGAGCATCGGCAACTTCTCGGAACAGAGGAGGAATCTTCAGATCGTCATAGCAGCGAAGAAGAAAATGAAAGTGACCTAGAAAGCGTATACCAAATTACTCCCGAACAACGTGATTATTATTACAACCAATTTAAATCTGTTCAACGGGATAATAAAGGACTGCTTTCTGGACAGGTTGCAAGGTACAATTTGAAACAAAGTTTTTTAAAAAAATATATGTTTGATTTTCGCTTACGGTTCTGCAGAGTATTTTTTGAAAAATCAAGGATACCAATTGAAGAATTGAGGCATATTTGGCAACTATGTGATGTATCACGTGATGGAGCTTTAAGTTTAGCAGAATTTACCGCTGCTATGCATTTGGTGGTGTTAAGGCGTAATAATATACCCTTACCAACGGTTCTTCCTTGTTGTTTGCACCCAACTATGCTTCAACATAATTCCCAACATGAAACCTTAAATACTTTATCCCAAGACCCGCCTGAAGCAGATTTGTTGCACTTAAATGATGATGATGAAGAGGACAAAACTGATAATACGGTAATAGTAACTAAAAATGCAACTCTCCAACGGGGTGTTACTGACAAAAACATTACGAGTATAAATGTACCTTCAACATCACATGTAACAGTAACTAACAATAATTCATATGTATTTATATATCATAATGCATAATTCTATTAAATAGATGAAGGCTGGGTCCGGTCAAGGTAATCAAGTTTCAATTACACCTCCTTTGCCACATATTCAGAAAAGCAGTAGTAAAACCAATTCCCCAATAGTAGAATCTAAAACCACGCCTTCAACAACTGTGGTTCAACCAAACGAACGAAACATATGGGTTCCTGCAGTAAGTCTCGTTACCCAATATGTTCAAATTTAATTCGCACAATTCTTTTTTAATAGGACATCCCTCCTACACAATGGACTAAATTTACCGAATCTCCTACATCAAATGTGTCGAGTCCTGGTCCAAAACCAGTAAATTTTGACATGCAGCGCACGGCACAAGCTGTAGTATCCGATCCACAAATATTACATCCAGTGCCTTTACGGGTAACTCCAGTTGGTATGTATTTTTCTTTTTCGATAATTGAGAATACATATTTCAAGGTTTGGTTTCAGGAAATACGATAACTGCTGCCGAAACAATTAACCAGGACGTGCACGATTTGACAAATCACCAAGACAGTAGTCCTAAACAATCATCAACTGCACCGACAATCGGAACCAGCTCCAACAATACCAATAATGCTGGAAATGTAACACTTAATCGAGAAGCTCTTCAAAATAACGATCTACGTGCAATTCAGCGACCTCAGGCAAAAAAATTAATTCCAAAAAATATCGGCGCGTTGCCTCCCCCACCACAGCGTGAGTCCAGCATAGGTAGTGCCACTGCAGTCACAAGTAATCAAAACACACTATCAGGCGTTTCTGCATGTAGTGCGGATAATAACGAACTAGTCAGTGGCAGTCAACATCAACAATTATTGCCAAATAAAAAGGACCCTCCACCATTACCACCACCACGACTCCTTCGCCATGGTCGTAGCAGTAGTTTGGATTTGAATAAATTCAAAATATCTGCCCCCATTGGTAACCAGCCAGAGGTATAAATAATTTGATGATATTTCTAGATTGGTTCATTTTGACATTATATATATTTGATGTGTTGTCTGTAATAATTTAATGTATTATTTCTTTCTTATTTTAGATGATAGCCCAGGTTAGTTTTGATATGCAGATGTCTACTGGCTTTGCTGATTTTACACAATTTCATGGTGAAGATGTGGTATGAAGGAACATTTTTCGATTTATATATATATATGTTCTCATTATCTTCCTTAAATATTTCATGAAAAAAATATTATATTTTTAGAAAGACACATATCCCGACCGTCAACAGTATTCTTTACCTCCAGCACAGCCAATATCATCGAATACATTTGCAAAAGTTTTCACTCTGCCTCCAACGCGAGTTTCACTGCAACAATCGAATCAACGTGTTTCAGCGTTTGAGGTATATAGAAAACCGAATACACCTAGAAATTCTGAATCACCTAATCCGATAATACAAAAGAGTTATACGGCACAACCGATTCAACCGACACCTCCTATTTCGATTCCTTTTGGTGCAGCTGGTGCAGCCGCAATCGCACAGCAATACCCATTAGCGACAGCGTTGCCCAATGCTGATACGTATGAAAAGCGTGTGAATGCAATTACCGAGACATTAAAACATGTATCATTTAAACACGAAAACAATATGACAGATGTCCTGCGACACCTTCGTGAACAAAATAATATATTGTTACGTTTGTGCAATGATTTAAGTGATGAATTGCTGTCAGTTCAAACTCGGAAAGAGGAACTACGATTGAAAATGGACACCTTAGTATTAACTGAGTCCTCAGCTGCAAACTACAGCCAACTTCAAAATCAATTAAGTTTGCGAGCTGATTCGTCCAATTCTGCACCCGTTACAGCCAACGTTACTGGGGGATCAGGCAGCTCTGGGGTACATTCAAATGTGTAAAAAAAATAATTTTAACTGCAGTTTTGCTTGAAATGATAAAGTTATGAATCTAGGATTAATCGAATAAAACATGCTTTATGTATGTACGTGGTGTTTTCAGTATTTTTTGAGTCTGCTATTAAATTAATATCTCGATGTTTTATATTCTATATTATTCCAGTGAGGTTTGCCATAATTTGTATTAAAAAAAATAATCTAGACATTTATATATTACAAAGCTGTTAACATTGCATAGCGTTCAAATATAGTCATATTCTTACAAATTTTAAATATGTCTATATACATGCTTGTAATAGAAATATTACTGGTTGTATTTCACTAATTTTTTGGATTAATATGAGCATATAACATTATTCTAAATTTGTCTCTAACGCCTTTGGTCTGAATTCAGCATGGATACTTTTTAGATATTTTTGTTATTATGTACAGGCCTTATGACTAAGCTTAATATTATCTCCAAGTTGTCCTTCTCAAGCATATTGAAGGTAGTCCATCATATCAAAATATTAGCACGAAAATTCGTTTTTCTGTATCTGTACTAAAGAGTTAATAATATAAGAATAATTAATAATTTTTTCGAAAACGCAACGTTGCTAGAAATGCTATAAAATGCGCTAGAAATAAATAATTTATCTAATGCTGAGTTTTAGTTGGAGGTTTTTTTGAAAATGTTCTCTATTCAGGTAGCCATAATTTTGTTAATACTACATTGTATTTCCTTTGTTAGATTTTGCTAGTAAGGTTACATTTCCCTATTATCCAAATCTGCATGATATTCGTCATTAATATACCGTTTGGTAGTGGAACATCTATTACCATTTTTGACTTGAGGCTTCCGTACCACATGACCTCAAGGATTTCTGCGAGGTAAATTGACCTGGCTCTCAACATCTTCGATTCTTTATGGATCACTTATTTTATTAAAAACTTCTTCACAATTATAAAGTAAATATTCGGCTAACTCAGTTTGTACAGATATTTAAGACATAGAACGAGTTCCTTCTGTTTCACAAACCAAGCAATAAATTTCCCATGCGCTAATGGTTATGGTAATGGACTGAACTCCCCATAAAGGCTACTATCATTTTTTTTTCACTAATACTAGCTCCATAGTTATTTACGGAATTATCATGAAGATCTATTTCTCTCATATGTCGAATGTAATCATAAAACGCTCAGGTTATTCCACAAAGGTTTTCTTATAGCCGTACCTCTGTTGAACAGACGATGCAAAAAAGACTAGTGATCCAAAAAAAAGGTAGTTCTTTGATCTAAACCATTTTTTTCCAAAATCAATGTAATATTTATATGGCGACGCGACGAATACTTGAAGTTTTACAATAAATTAGCCTAATTTTATTATTTTTATTATATTAATGTTTACATTGGCGGCTGCAAGAGTTGATTGGTTAGCAGTGTATACTACCATGCGGAAGGCCAGAGTTTTGTCCTGGTCAAGCTCTCCGAGTGTTTTTCTGATATGAAAAGAAGCGCCTCATTTAAATCCATCAGCCGTTCGGAGACGGCTTATAATAAACTCCCTCCATTTGTTGGGAAGATATCAAGAGGAATACCACAAATTCTCCTCTTTCAATTTTCGGTCGAAAATCGTTTCAATAACATAAAAATTTAAAAATATTATTCTATTGTAAAAAATCATAAATTATATATGTGCAATTATTAGTTTTATTTCAACACCACTGCATTCTCAAATGGTTGAACACTTCTACCAAAATAAGTCACATAATCTTCAAACGAACTTTTGGCATGTGCTGTCGCATCCGAATTTGCCGTCCCTCCACTTGGTCGCAAAAGAATTTTTAAAACTTGCCAGCAGGAGGAAAACCTTTTCAAATATTTTTCACTATTCTTAATTTATTCTGAATATCTTCAGTTTTCGTATAATTTATTATTTTAAGAATTTCATTCCGAATTCCCTTTGGACAGAGTAGAAAATTGAAAAGTAGCGTTTTCTTTTGACGAATAAAAACTAAATTATACAAGTCGCTCATCATTTCCGTTCTACTACATGGTGCGGGGGACTGAATAATCAAAACTGCTATGCAGACTAGGTCATCTTGTACGATTGATAAGATTTTAGCTTTGAAATCATTCGATGAAGCACCTGCGGCGAAAGCAGGAAAATCAGATTAATGTGAATCTGTCTTCACTAGAAAATTAAAAGAAATAAAACAGATTTAAATTAAATTAATATGTATTGTTAATATATATTTGTATAACAGAATCAAATTTGATTATGAGTTATAGTTTTTTCCAAAGTTTTTAATTTGTATGTTTGTGCGTAATTCAATGCTCGTACGTGATTACTATAAAAAGTATAAGGAAAGGATAAGCTTGTAATTTTTCCAATTGTATTTTTTCTTTTTCTATTAGTTTTTAATTTGGAATTTACTTTTATTAATTTGGACTAATTTAGTTGATTTTTAGTATTAATTTACTTACACATACAATAAATACAAATGAATGAATTTACCATCCGTGGTAAAAAGCTGCGTGGGTTATCATCCTACCGTACAGGAAACCAATAGCTTGCTTATTAAAATAATAATTTTTAATCTGATTATTTATTATATATTTCTTAGCTTGCTTATTAAAATAATAATTTTTAATCTGATTATTTATTATATATTTCTTAGAAATTTACCGTTTATTTAGTTATTAGTTATTAGAATGTAGGTCTGTCAAATTAAAGAGGGGTGTTTGGATTATTAACTAGATTTATTCAATCACTAAAAGCTAATTATTTTTTAAAAATTTCAATAAGGTGCGTGGCGTCGTGGGTTCGTCTAAATTTGCCAGAAATTTTGAGTTCAATACCCTCTCGCCTCTTTCGATTACATTTTTTTTTGAAATTAGCTTTTTTCCATTGTCGCCAAGGACTACTAATAGCTTACAAAATATAGAAGTTTGTAGAGGAGTAAAGTGGATAGCGCATATGAATTTGTTATTATTGTAGATTTATACTTACTATCAAATATAATATAAAATTTCTAATTATCTTTATTCGTAACATAGTATTTTTGGTTTTATTTTTTTATTCAATTTAAATTTACTCTTTAATGATTTTCATCAATCCAAAAATCAATGAATTATTTATAACCCTGCAAACTTATATAAATATTACGTCTTTATTTCCAAACTTACATCATTACCATGACACCATTAGTTTCAATGAGCTAGTAAAACTTGCACCAAAGAAATCATTGACTCTTTATCTATAATTCAAATAAAGTAATGCAGATAATTGAAAACGTGTAAACATACGCATTGTTCCCATAGCTGCGTGCGCAGCGATTTAGTGTACGAACTGTAAAAGGCGAAATTTTTTTTTGCAAAGTTTTTGACGATAGTTCAAATCCCTTTCGCTGGAACTATAATAAAGCAATTTTAGTGTTCATCTTTTTTTTATTATTCATGATCACCTATATGAAGATTAACAAATAAAGAAATTATAAACAGCATAATGAAATTTTAATCATAATAAAGGTAAAACGTTTAGGTTTTGTTATTAATATACTCGTACATACATATGTACGTACATTTATCTGTAGTATTATATCTCTCTCTCGCCACTTTGTATACTGCATGTATGTAGATATATGATGTTCTCTCTTAATGTTATCTGTCGATAAATCTCGGTTGGTATTGCAGTTTAATTTTCACTTAATAATAAGTGTACTGAGTATTCAGACACATGCAGCGATATAACACCGTTGGCGCAGAGGTTAGAGTGTTAGGTAGATAGACTAGGTTACTTCGTAGACATAGGTTCGAGCCACGCGTCAGGCAATCACAAACTAATAAATTATGTGTAGAGGAAAGTCGAAAGCCAATTTATTATTATTAATACATAAACCAAAATAAAGAAATTAAAATAAATTTTAAAGAACTAGAAAAAGAAAAAATGTATCTCAGGAGGGTGGGGGAAAGGGGGGGTTCAAACGAGCCCTTTGGGCTCGTTGTAAACGAGACCGTTAGGTCTCGTTATTTCAATATTTATGTACTTGTACACTGCCCTACGAGACCCAAGGGCTATTAATAAACCTTTTGCACGCAGGTTCTTTCATCTGTTCAGGTTTATGTACAGTTGCTGCCAGTCGATGTTTGTTCATCCTACTGCTCGGTAACCAGGTGTGT